TAAACCACTGAAAATGAAAAGTGTTGATAGATTTGATTTAATGTTTGTGCTTAATGCTTTGAAGTATTGAACAGCCATGAAGAATGAACACTGAATGTGTCGACATTGAGTTAATAACTGATTAAAATATGATTTCTCATTTGTTATTAGTTTTGATTTCACCGCATCATCTAGAAAAATGAGTGAATGCAAAAATTCTCTATCAAAATTTGAAATAGAAAGTGTTTCAAATAATTCATCCCGTTGTTTATCAATAATTTTATCCTCTAATCCTTGCTTCTTGATTGTATTATATAATTCTTTATACATTAAAAAGTTTTTTAAATAATCTTCTGCTTCTTCTTGTGATAAATAAATAATTGGAATTTTGATTAAATGCTTTAAAGATTCAAATGTATCATCTGAAGGTGAACCTGAACGGTTGATATAAATTAACACATGTGAATGGGGGGAAGTGTTAGCAATAATGATAATTTGTTTTAATATCGTTAATGTTTTACCTTTATTCTGTTTACCAATTGCTGCAGTGATTGAATTTAAGTAACATTCAGAATATGGAATTTTCATTAATTTTTCCTTAGATAGAGCATTTCTATTATCACTCAATGCTTCATTAATCATATCATCTACGTATGTATTATATACTCCCGCTAATTCTTCAGAATTTAAATCCATTTAATCAAAAATAAATTTATAATTTTATACATTTCTATTCATCAATATTTCATCATATGAACTTCTATACTGTGGTGGTGTACCTGTTGGATGATATTTCAAACCTTCATCCGGTGTCCATGTCCAATACGTAGTCCTAGTAAACCAAACCTGAGGAGGATTTGTCACCTTTGAACAGTAAGTGTCATTTACACCCTGAATGATTGGATAAGCTTTCACTTGTACTGTAACTTGTGAGTTGAAAGTTTCTAATCCATCAAAGAATATACCCGCTCCATCACGTTGAACTGGAATAGTGCATAAGAATGAAGTTTGGTCTTTCCATGTTCTAGCTAATGGTGTGCCATTATCATCATTCAGTGGTCTAGTTAATGAGTCCTCGTATTCTTCTGTGCATTCATTCACTCCATCTAAATCAGAAGCTTGAAGCATACGTGTAAAGAATATGTCACCCACTGTGGTCATCGCTTGATCGGGGAAGTTTCTGGAATCTATAGTGACCTGAAGACCTCGAAGCATTGGATTTTCTAAAACTGTTCTTTGCATTGCATTCTTCGGAAATGCTAACACAACATCTGTAACATTATGAAGAGCGTATGAGAAATCTGAGCTAATACCTTCAGGAGTGATGCAACCTCCATTTAGTGAACGAACGTCAATATGTTGAGCTGGAATCATGAATGGATCTTCCTTACTGAATAAACGTGGTATTGCTTTAACTGATTCTTCAATTAAACCGTATCCTGGTGTAATACATTTATCCTCTAAAACTTCCATCTTTGTGCATGAAATAATAACGTCATCAACTGTTGCGTCAGCAGATGTAGCGGCTAAGCTGTAATTAATTTGGCAGGAAGTCCGATTTGTTGGAATTTGCGATCATATTTATAAACATGATTCATAATCTTTTCATAATTTTCATCAGTTATCTTTTCATAAACGTAATTTTGTAAATCAGCAACTCTTAACGGGTCAACCTGACAAAATACTAAAGTATCCCTGAAAACATAATATTTAAGAATGATTTCACCAAATGATTTAGGATAATCATCGAACGCCTGAAATGCTAACAAATCATTTACCGGAATAATCATATCAAAAGTGATATCAACTTCTTCATTTGCTTTCTTGAAAACTTCTGAAGGGTCAATATATTTACCACATACTGAGTTATCATATTTTTGAACATTATTATATAACGAATGAACAAACTTTTTAACTTTCCTTTCTGATTTTGGTTTATATGTTGCAAATGCGAAAGATTCACGGGCGCAATCCATCTGAAGATAACCGGCATCACCTCTTTCGGTTTCTACTTCTAATTGTTTAAAGCTTTGATTTGATGATTTGTAACCAACGAATAAACGCATGCATTTAAAAGCGGCATCACATGTGAAAGCTTTATTTGAAACTAGAGTTGCTTTAACTTTGCGTTTAATATATGTGTCACCTAATTGGTTCACATCATGAGCCGGATTTGTAATTCTTAAATGAGTTTGTTTATCATCAAAATATGGAGCATCAGAGTCATAGCATGAACTTTCAAGTTCTCTATAATATCTTCTTCCGTCATTCTTTGCGAATATTTCATTTATCTTTTCGAATGAATGAAACACATTTCCATTAATTGTTTAGTGTTTGGCACCAAATAGTTAGTCGTCATTTATTATTAAATAAAAAATCAAAATTAAAAGATGAAAATGAATTTTTAATTTTAATGAAATAATCAACTATGGCTGCAGGATTCTTTAAGAAACTGTGGGATAAAGTAAAAAGAGGAGCGCATAAAGTTTGGGAAACAATGAAGAAAGGAGCAAATTGGATATTTAAGAATAAAGAAGCAATTAGTGACGTTGCTGAATCAATAACACCAAAAGCTGCCCCAATAAGAGAAATTTTAAATAAAGGAGAAAAAGTTTATCAAAGACTACAACCATACTAAGATAAAAATAATATTTATTTATTTTTCCACTATTACCCCTATTTTATTAAGTATTCCTTCAGCAATTCCACCAATTGCGTTACCTGCTTGTGCTCCCATCGCCGGATTACCTGCTTTAGTACCTAATACTCCACCTATGATAGTTCCTGCCGTTTTCGCTACTGGTGCCAAAAAGTTTGCAACAGGTTTAATAACCTTTTTATAAACCCAACCTGCAGCTTTCTTAATTCCATCCCATAATTTTTTAAAGAATCCTGCCGCCATTTCTGATTTAATATTAATTAAAAAATATATTTCATCACTTATATTCTAATTTTTATTTAATGATAAATGAAACCGATTTTAAAAATAAATGAAACAGAGGAGGAAGAAATAAATGAAAGTGAAAATGTTCAACAAAAAATAAACGTTGTTAAACCAATTACTGAAATAAAATTTTTTCATCTGTTGAAGAATTTAATGACTATTATGCTAATAATAAAAAATTATTTGAAGAATTGACAACATGTAAATTGAATAAAATGTTTAAAGTTGATGGATTCAAAATTTCAAAAATAAAAGGAGTGGTTAGTTTGAAATCTATTCCTCAATCAAGAATCACCTCATTAATGAAAATTGATGATTTAACAAAAAGAATAGAAATTATTGAAGAGCGAATAAATCAAATTATTGATTTCATAAATCATGACTCGTTGAGCCCGGGTCCTTAAAGCCATCACTGAGTTCAAGGTTATATTCATCAAATATTTCATTATTAAATGCAACTTCTGCTAGTTTATTTATTTTTTCAATACGATCATTTGAAAGTTTATCATTTAATTTTTTCTGAAGTTTTTCATTTTCTAGTTCTGAAACTTTATTTGGATGATATTTAAACCCGTTAAATTCTTTTTCCTCAGTTTTGATCATTAATTTACAAAGAACTTTTGTGGTTGGAATTCGTTTAAACCATTTATCATTAATATTTGTTATATATTCAATATCTGGAATTAATTCCCAAATTTTTGCATTTTCAATTAATTTATTATCAAATGCAAAAGCAATAGGTTTAATATTAAACTTACCTTTATAATATAAACTTTCTACATAATCATCGAAATAAACATCTACTTGTTTAACATTTTCAAGAATTGGTGAAAGAGCATCCATTAATTGATTGACGGTTACGAATCTTGATCCACTCATTTTCATACAAATTAAAAAAATAAATTATTCAAAAATGTAAGACATGAATTTTTAAAGTTTATTTTTTATTCATGAAAATAATTATTTCTAATTTCTTTTACTCTCTCGTACATACTAGATTTAAAGAATTCAGAACTTTTACCATAATCTCCTAAATGTTTTCTTATCCCTAACGTGTGCCAGTTATTATATGAAACTGAATAAACTTTATCTTTATCTTTACACCTTTCATCACTTCCAATATATTTATATTTCAATTTTGATTTAGCATTTTCATATTCATTAACGTTTAATAATTCACAGTCTTCCTTTTTAAATAAATGTTTATGTATTCAGGATTTAATACTCTACGTTTATATGCTCCTAACTTAGTTCTAAAGGTTTTTCTACAAAATTTAGGAATTCCATCCTCTTTAATGTCATCAATGATTTCCATTTCATTATTTTCAATTTCTTCTTCTCGTTTATGAGGTCTTTGATTATGACTCCATTGATTCCATGAAATTAAATATTCTTTATCATTATATTTATACCTCATTAGCTTATTTTGGCTTTCATATTCATTTAATAATTCACAATCTTCATTTTTAAATTGAAGTTTAACCCATTCAGGATTTAAACAATGTTTAATTAATCGCGGAATATCTGACATCATCTATATATAGCTTCTTTTATAAAAGATAAAAAAATAAATTATTTTAAAATTAATGTTAATTTTTTTAATGTGTTTATAAATTATATTTTAATGCATCGTCTATATATAGATGTAACAAAAAAAGTCACAAAACCCGCACTCATATACTACTTTCATTTTTTAACTTGATATCAATTTCTTCAACCAGACTGAGGCTATATCAATGACAGCCTTTTATTAGTTATCCTTTGCTTCTTTATTTGCTCCAAAACTGATCTGAATTTACTGCATCAAGTTAAACTTTAGACACATAATTATCTTTATTAGCTCCAACTGAGACATGCCGGATTTTTATCAGCTATAGATCATACATTTATAAAAATAATTGAAAGTTATCCTTTTTAAATTTTTTATTTCAATTTTTTTTCTCCAAATTCATTAAGCCAAAGTTTTGTCTCTCAAAAAGCTGTGGAAAAAGATCTGAGGTAGCTTTATATCATGAATTCTAACTAAGATTTATTAATGATAGATTTAATTTCTCTTTTTTATGAAAAATAATAGTGCTTATTTAATGTGGCAGAGCCAATATTGGTAAGCTGGAGTTTCGTAAGGGTGCGATTTCTTTAAAGCAGCAACAACATCTTGAATTTTGTCTCTAGTAACAACCATTTCAAGCTTGATTTCTTCAACATGTTCTACAATGTTTTGTTTACCAATGAATGGGTTAGATCCTTCAAGTGGGCGAAATTGGCCTGTACCTAGTGTTTGCCACATACAGCAATCATAGTTACCAATACGTCCAGCTCCTGCTGCACATAAGGCTTCCTTTACTTGTTCAATTTGTGGAACAGGAACATAAGTTACAAAGCAATATGCTTCACCCATTTCAAAGTGAAGTGATATCAAATTAATAAGCTTTTCAGCCCAGTATACGAATATGTATCAACTCATAATCTTAATTTTCAAATCTATTCATCCAAATGATCGGAATTTGATTCAAAATTGATGAAAATTTTAGGTATTGTCACTTTTTGTTTCTTTAAAAAATGATTTCGATCCTTTTCCAAACAACATTTTCTTTATCTCATAAACTAACATCAGAAAATTATACATCTATTGTTCATAACGAAGGTCATATACCTGTTTTCTTGAAAGCTTGGGCATCTTGGTGTCCACATTGTAAAGAATTGGCTCCAATATGGGATGAACTTTCCAACAACACAGCATTTGAAAACAGAGTTATCTTTGCTGATATAGAATGCGAATCAAACAGAAAATTATGTCAAACACTTTCTGGAGAGAATTTTCCAAGATTATATTGGATAGACCAAAATACAGACAATTCGTTATTTAAATATGAGGGCCCTAGGAACTTAGCTGACTTAGTTTCATTTGTTACAAAACAATTAAATTTCCCGTTATTACCTGCCAACGAAAATGAACTCGATGATATTGTTGCTAAAGCAAACAGATCAACAACATTCGTTTTTACTATTGATCCTAATGATGATGTGTCTATTGGAGTCGCAAAACAATCGGTTTTGCCAGAAAGAAATTCATCATCAAGTTTCATTATAATGGACGGCCCATCAGGCAGTAAACCACGTCTTACATGCTATTCTGGATCTAAAAACGTCACATTTGATTACAAAGGCCAATGGCTTGCTGACAGAATTAATCATTTCATTGCTCTTAAGACAATACGATTCCTTAGATACTTCGATGGTTACGTACTTAGATACTCTAACAACAGAGCAATCCGTGTCTTCACAGTCGTTACAAATTCATCTCAAGATGAAATCCCCGATTCAGCTCGCGAACAGGCTGTACAAGCATCAAATATGTTCATTGTTGCTAGAGAAGATTGTTACGGTGGCTCTTGGTTTTGCAGATATACCGATATTCATCCAGTTCCTGGCAAACCAACATTTGTCATCTACTCAGGCTTCGAAAAACTATTTTGGACATATAATGAATCAGAAATTTTCTATGATTGGCTTGTTGATGTAAATTCAGATAAAATAAAAGGAAATGGACCTGGAACTGGCTGGCTTAACTTGATCAAGAAGCCATTTTATGATGCTAAGATTGATGGAAGAGCACCACCATACCTAGTTTTTGTTGTTCCAATTGTATTTGTCATCCTTATTGTTATTATCTTTTGCGACATCACTGGATTGAACGATGCTGCAAAAACAAAAACAGAATAAAGAATATAGAATATAATTGATTAAAAAATAATTAAAATATTTTAATGAAAATACAAACAATTAATTTATTGAATAAAATTAAACGTAGAATCATGTATCATTAAACACATTTGAAGGATTTCCTTCATATCTGTTCAGAAAACCTATACTAAAGAAATTTTCGATTTGAATTTCTCTTTGAGAAGTTGCATATCTTGTTTAGTTAATCTTCTTTTTCAAAGATACCTATATGACCATTTGTTGAACCTAGAGATATGGCTGTGAATGGTTCATTGGCGGCTACATCAATTATTGGGCCTTCACCAAACTTAATTTTATCATCAAGCTTTCCTTCTTTTGTATCCCATATGAAACCTTCGCCTGTTTTCGATCCTGAGATTATCTTATAAATTGAGGAAGCAAAATGGCATTTAATTGGGCAATTTTCAATGATGGCACCTTCGTACATCTGGTATGCGTCTCCTGTGTTAGTGGTTTGTAATTTTATTCTGGATGAGCTATCTGCAACTAAAACTGCATGATTATCCCAGCTAAGTTCTATATGCATAATAGGTGAACCTATATCATCCATAATAAGTTTGTTATTTCGAACGTCATACATTCTTAGCTTTCCATCGAGCGATGCAGTGAAAATTTCATATCTACTAGTTGAAACGGAAGTTATAGCATCTTTAGCATCTGAAAAGACACTCATAGGCGAATTACTGCTAATTCTGTTATCCCATGCTTGGACAGTTGAATCTGTTGAACCTGAAAATACAATTCCTAAATTTTTGCTGAGACAAACTGAGTTAATAGCACCATCATGGCATTTTAAACGTCTGATATCGGCTTGTCTTTCGACATCCCACCAAACTAAGGAGCGATCAGTGCCTCCGCTTATCATTTGGGAGTCAGAGTTATTAGTTACGAAAGAGTTAACGGATCCCATGTGTCCTTTCATAGAAGCCACAAATTCATTATTATCAATTTTCCATATTTGAATCACACCATCCTCACCAGATGAAATAATATGCTTATAGTCTTTACTATATTTAATTTGCGTTACACTTCCATCATGTGCAGTATATTCATGCTTTAACTTCAGAGTCATTCAAAATTCCAAAATAAAAATAAATGATCATTTATCGCTATCAGGATTTGTTTAGAATCCTATGTTGCTAAGGTAACTTAATCTAATTTTCTATGATCTTCTTTTTCAAGCATATGGAAGAATAATATGTTGTTTTGGAAACAAGATTAAATTTCATTATGCTGAAATCCATATAAACCTTTAAACTAGATATAGAAAACCTTAATAAAAACCTTATGAATCTGCAGAAAGTCAAATGTACTGAAAAGAAGATCAAACAAATTTAAATCATATTTGTTATAGGTTTTTGAGCTTAGATATCAATAATTTCAATTTTTTACAATGTTGTATGCGTCTTTAGGATAGCGTAGATATTCAAACGTTGAAAGTTCTTTTTGATATAGAATAAGATTCTATTTTTTTGATATAGAATAAAGCATAAACCAACCAAGTAATCTAATTAAATGTCTGCTGTATAAAATTTAAATGGAAAAATAAAAAAAAGAGATTAATTTTTTCATAAAATCCAAGAAAAATTAATAATATTTTATTTCACTATATCTGATAAGCTGGCATATTGTGAAGAGAATTAATAACAGAGAGTGGGATTGGTCTAGTACGACTCAACAAAGCAGAGAAATCAGCACCTCCAATGTTCGACAGATTCCTGACGAATGATATCCACATATCTTCAGGTATATCTGTAGTCTGAACATTTGGATCTCTAAAGCTGGCAATGACTCGAGGCAATATCGTCTTGTCAACTTTAGTGTGAATTTCCCAAAGCTCGTGGAAGAGCTGAGGCAATTCAATGTCCTCCAGCATCATTGGCGTGAAGTCTTTATATTCATTTGTCAACGCTGCTGAAGCTGCGACATTTGAAATCGCAATCTTAGTATTTTCATCAATACTAACAGTCTGTAAAAGGGAGATGGCAATGCCAATGAGGAGTTCGAACAATATACGGTTTGGCTGCTTGACTCCATTAATTAATTTATCAATATCTTCTGTGCTAAATACGATTGGGTATGCAACTGAATGCTTACCTGGCTCCATCATGATATCAAATACAATTCTGAATTTATATTTGTAATCTACCGCTAAATAAGATTCGACATCTCCAACTAACCTCTCTAGAGAGGTAGCGAACGGTTCTATGTCGAACTCTCTGGCCGCTTTGGTTGGCATTGTAACTATCGCGTTCTTTGTCTCGATTTCGCACCATGGTATATCGATATCTTTTGTTTTCTGCCACATATCTGTTCCGATTACGTAGTGCGGTGCTTGTGCGAAACCTTTAAGCTTAACGTGAACGTTGTAGTCAACAATGTCCTTGTCATCGTCGATCATCAGATAAACTAATCCTCCGAACGGCGAACCGACCTTTGTTTTGTTAGAAACAATGGCTTCTGTAATAATTGTTGATGGCCAGCGGTCCCATGGAAGCGGCCTTGTTAAGTTTTTCTCCGTATGGCAGCCAATTTGAATAAATGAGTTCATTGGAGCGTCGTCTATGTCGATTTCCGCGATAACTCCGGCTGGAAGCCAAAGTCCAGTCGACGTCCACTCTTGTGTGTTGATGACCATGTCCAACTCGAAATCTTTTAATTCGACATCTCCGGTTGGGCCGGGGAAAATTTCATATCCTTCGACCGGACGCATCAACTCGAGAGGAAGTTTCTGTAAGATGTCTAAAATTAGCATGGCTACGATGGATTGTTGGACTATTTGGAATAATTTGTTATCTTTTATGTAATTTGTACGCTTTAAGTAGTTCCAAGAAGTCTCAAGGAGTTCTGTAAGTTGTGGAGTATTTTCGTCTCCACCTGCGAGGACGTAAATTCGAAGATTTGTGACCAAATCATCCAGAATGTACTGGCCAATGTCATCTGACTGTAATGTTGTGATGTATTTTTTGCTCATTTCTGAAAATGTATGTTCTTTTGCCATTTCATAATTTTGTCCGATTTCAATGGATTCTCCGTCATCACCGTTAATTAGATTTGTAAATCTGATACCGAATTTGAGCAAGAAATCGTTGATACTGATTGATTCTTGTATTGGATTATAGAATACTATCAAACCGTTACCGTCGTCAACAACGTATTTATATAACTTGTCTGCTTCTTCTGGTTTAAGCTCGTAACTTGTGTTTAAAACTATAATTGAGTAATGCGATAGATTGGTGGGAAAATCACCGCTTTCGATGAAAAGTCCCATAGCCTCAAATGAACTTTTGTAATTTCTCATATCATTTCGGCTGAAACCTATACAGAATGTTTGAGCGAACGTTCCTTGCCCTCCAGCAAGTACATGCGATAAATTTTTGAATAACATTGTAGTTTCGAATGCTTGAAAATTTTGTTGAGAAAGAAAGTCTATACATGAAATGCAGGCTAATTGACCATTTCCTTTTAACGAGCATGAAATAATAGGCAAGCGTATGTCTGCTATGTCTGGTTCTTCGAGCTTGAAAACGGCACTGACAATTGGAAATGCTGTATCACCAACGCACACCTGAGGAACAAGCTCAGGCGGGTTTGCAATTAAACGAATACCATTTGTTACTGCATGGAAAAATTGTTTTTTAGTAAGTTTTTCTGTGCTGTGATCTCGCATTCCTGGACGATTCTGAGGGAAAGTCTGTCCATTTCTTTGAGGCCTGTCTTTCTTCTGTACAACCCTGGGCGATGATTGAACACAACCCATTGTTATCACAGCTCTATTCAAATAATTCTTTTTTCCTCTCAAATTAGGCGATGTAAACCCGACAAAAACGTGTTTTTTTAGGGGAAAAAAGTGAATATTTCATGAAAATAAATAGTAAAATGGATATAGAATAGGAAATAGATTGCATATGTGAAATCATTTTCCGGGAAAGACATGTTAACAAACCTAAAAACGAACAAAATTTACAAAAATTCGTTTTTTCGTGATTGAAGCAATCTCTTCAAAAATACTGCTTAAATACGCATAAACATCAATTGCCAATTTTTCAAATTCGAGTTTAAAAACCGATCATTCAAAAGTTAAAATAAATTTTGATATGAAAAGGTCGCCCACATATAACTAATTATTTAATTATTTAAATCATAAAAGTTTATTTCAATCCAATTCAAAAAGTCGATGTAAAAGTGCTTATGAGATATTTAATGTATCAATTTTCATTAATTCATTAAATAAACATAAAAATTTTGTTGTTTGTAAAATATGCAGAAAAATTCAATTTAGAATTTTAAATTTGTATTATTTAGTGGAGGTTAATTCTATCTTTTGACTTTGAGAGGGATTGAAAATTTTGTGTGTAATTTTCATAACATTGTGTTTATTCTCAATCACTTTACATGATAATGAATGCTTGCCTTGAGGGCAATATCATGCAATTTAGGGTTCAATTAAAAATCTAATATAGTGGTAGTATTTGTTTTTTTAATTTGTTTACTTTTTGGGTTCGATATTTTCGTTTTAGTCTTGAATGCTGACATCAAGATGTTGCAACAGATACAACTGATAGATATGTTGTTAGTTGGCTTATTTTTATGATCTAGCTTAAAAGATAATATTCATATTTTATTAACTCATACCATAAGCATTCCTTCATATGAAAGCACGTTATATTAACTGTACTCATTTATTTTAGTCTTTCATTAATGCGGCATCAATAGAATATTGATTCTTCAATTAATTCAATAGTAAAATAATCAATAAATGTTGTTGAAATATTTAGAAATTAGTTATTAATATATTGAGTTGTTAGTAAGCTAACTCATTTGTTATAATATATTTAGCATTCTTGAGAGAGCCTTCAAATAATAATGTAAAAATGGAATACATGGTTTACTTCGGAATGTAATGACTAATAAGAAGATCTTTTTAGAGTTTCTAAAAATTTTTTACAGGATTATCCTTTTCCAAGTCACGGTAATTATAGACTACTGGTGGAAGCCTTGGATCCGCATGGAAAATCCTGACATAAGAATTGATATCATCCGTGAATTGAATTTTTTTGGAAAATTTTGTTAAAAATGAAATGACTGGTTCTGGTGTATTAAATTCTGGTTGCATCAGCAATTTCAAGATTAACTTTTCGAGAACAATTCCAAGGGATGAAGCGTAGGCTTCGGTGTATGTATAATCGCAAAGGTCTTGATAACGAAATACTGCGCATATTGCACGACGTGCTATGAAATCAAATTCATCTTCAGGAAGTTCAATTCCTTTAGTGAATGCTAAGAAATTGAAAGGAAATATAAGATACATTCCTTCGTATTCGGTTTCCTCTGGATATTTAATGGTATGCAAAAAATCTTCTACGTATTTTGGGAATTTAATAATGTACAATCTGTTCTTGGGGTTTAATTGTAGATAATCTTCAAATTCATCTTTTGAATCATTCTTGAGAAGCCTGAATATGTATAAGAATTTACTATGTGAACTCAATTTTGTGCATAAAAAATGAAGAATCGCCTTTAATGGGAGAAAGATTAGAATCTCAAAAATTTGACGATTTTGTTTCTGACATGTAAACCATCTTTTACTAAATAAAATAGTACCCTAACTAAAAGATCATGCGTTTCACACTCGTATAGTCTCAGAAATGCTTTTACCTTAAGTAATGTAATTATGTTTCCTCATTTATGCATCAGAATTCTGCTTTTAGTCAAATTTATTCTTAAATACATCACTTACTTGAATACTCATTCCCCAAAGGGTATCTGTTGTTTTGATTATTGTTTGATAAAGTTATATCAAAAGTTATGTATCAAATTTAAAATTATATATAGGTGTTAGAAATTTTATTAAATCGAGATTGAGTCTATGACTCAAGTTGTATTCTTATTATATTCCAAGCTGACAATTAGATATGTATGCATAAAGTACTAGAATTGAGATTTTCAAATTTTATTCTTTGCTTTTGAGAGATAAAAGTAATCAAAACCAAGATCTTGAAGTTAACAAAGCAAGTTCATCTCATGATTTGAATGATTCTATGTTTATTAATTCCGACAATGTGCGAACATTGTTTCGGATAAATTATTGAAAATTCTTTACAACTATCGATTTTAATATTAATAAAAAATGGATGTCCATAGTTTGTACATTTTTTGAATCTTCGATGAGTTGAATCATGGGTGGTCGCATTTTCAGAAACGATCGACTTCTTATCTACACTAATTCAAAAAAATTACAAATTTTTAATTCTTTAATAATGTATATTAAATGTGAATTGATTTGAAAAAAAATATTCTATGAATGATCTCAATTATAATTTGAAAAAGTCGAAAAGTGGCCAGATATAGCATTTTCTACGATGGCTGCTAAGTACACTATCGTCCTCCTCCGCCACGGTGAGTCCGAATGGAACCTTGAGAACAAGTTCACAGGCTGGTACGACTGCGACCTTTCTGCTAAGGGCCGTGAAGAGGCTAAGTCTGCTGGTGAAGTCCTTAAGGCTGAAGGATTCACATTCGATATCGCTTTCACATCCGTCCTTAAGCGTGCTATCCGCACACTTTGGATCACACTCGATGGCATGAACTTAATGCACATCCCAGTCATCCGCTCATGGCGTCTTAACGAGCGCCACTACGGTGCTCTCCAGGGCCTCAACAAGGCTGATACAGCTAAGAAGTACGGTATCGAGAAAGTCACAGAATGGCGCCGTGCTTTCGCTATCCCACCACCACCACTTGAGAAGGATTCTCCATACTACCCAGGCAACGATCCACGCTACAAGGATCTCGACCCAGCTTGCCTTCCACTTCATGAGTCCCTCAAGACAACAATCGAGCGTGTTCTTCCATTCTGGTTCGACCAAATCGTCCCAGCCATCAAGTCTGGCAAGAAGGTCATCATCGCTGCTCACGGCAACTCCCTCCGTGCCCTCGTCAAGTATCTTGACAACATGTCCGAGGATGAGATCGTTGCTCTCAACATCCCAACAGCTGTTCCACTTGTTTACGAACTCGATGAGAACCTCCGCCCAGTTTCCCACCGCTACCTCGGTGATCAGGAGAAGATCCCTGCCGCTATCAACGCCGTTGCTAACCAGACAAAGGGCAAATAAATAATTGGTCATGATTTATTCTTATACTAATTAATACTCCTTTTTTAATATTTTTTTAAAAAAATCATTGCATTTGATTTGTAAATTCTCGTATTTTGTTTATTTGATGTATCTTTTCTTAAACACTATGGCATATGTTTACTAAATTATGCGTCCACAACCATTTACTTTGAATATAAAGGATTGATCACTTTAATGATATATATTATAATATGAATCTATATGAATCAGTGTATAATAAGTGCATTTATATTGAATGAAATCAAAGCCACATTCATGAAAAGGTGATAGAATTTTTATTACTAAAGCATAAATTAAATGGAAGGCCACTGATTCTGCTATTACAGGATTTGATAAGTGATTGTATGGAAACTGTAGTTGTTGTTGAGAGAAATAAAATGAAAATTCATGAAATTTAATATGAAATAAACAAAACATTTAGTATGGTGTGAAATGAAATAAATTAAACGCGCATTTCACAATTAAAATAATACAATAATAAATAAACAAAATAAATAATTTTTCACCATAAAGGTTTCCATCCGCTGTAGAGTTTTGCAAGGTTATATTCATCCAAAGCCTCATTAATTAATCTTCCTACTTGTTTTTCTACAGGCAATACAACATTTTCTTCGAAATCATTTCCTCTAATTTTGCTTCTTATTCTTTTCATTACATCAGGAGCATGAAGCTTTGCTTCTCCTTCTTCTATTGGTTCCTGCACGAAAATCTCAAGTACAGATATCAAAGAGTTGCAGTTCTCTCTTATCAGCATCATAACTCTTACAGAAACAGGATAAAACTCTCCTTCTATTCCGCACAAACCGAAAGCTGACGAAACCATTCTTGTCAATCTGAAAGGAATCATTTCAGAGAACAAAACTCTGTTTCGTGCAACATCGAAGGAATCTCCAAAATCTATGTGAATTACATCACCGCTGTTTCTATCTATCATGAAATTGGAAGGATGTCTATCTCCCAATCCCAAAATATATCCAACAATTGACATCAAAGCTGTCGATCTCGCGTATTTCGATGTCCTTTCGAGCCATGCTTCGCTGCTTGGACTTTTCAGCCAGAAGACTTTTCTCAAGTCTCCTCCGTCCACGATTTGTCTGATTTCTTTGTGGACTTCGAGTCTTTGCATTGGTGTCAGTTTATTTGCATCATCTACTGACAAATTGAACAAAATATCTTGTTCATGATTTGGTTTTAAGTTGTGAGAAATCCTGTATTCAGCAACTAAGTTATAGAATGTATCACAACCATCAACCCATTGTATCAAACCGACTTCTGTACTCAAAGGAACAATTGAATAACATCTGACAGAAACATTATCAATTGACAATGAAATATCTCTTCGAATTTGAGCGTTGATTAATCTAAAGAACTGCATAACTCTTTGATCTAATCTCAGGTCTTCGTTTCCTTTCAACAAGAATTTATAGTTCTGTGAGTTATTTCCTACAATTGTCACTCTTCTCGGTCGTTTTTTACTTCCCATGACTGACAATTTCGGAAGGAAATGATGTATTCTTACATCAGGAGAACCAGGAACAGCAACTTCTGTATCTAAAAGGGATTCAAGCTCAGTACTGACATCGCTGATAGCAATGTCATTTAATCTGTCAAGGAACGTGTCATTGTTAAACATTATACATCTGAGAATTTCATCAGGATCTTCTTGTTGGCTGAGCAAATCATTGATCATTTGGAAGTTTTGGTGCTTAAACAAATTGTCGAATTGGCTTTGAGGTGTATCTACCAATATTTTGATTTCGTTTAGCACTTGTTCGCTCATTTCGTAGTTTCCTTCGCCCTTGAAATCAAAGTATTTGTAAACTAAAGTTGTAAATTTTTCAAAAATTGAAATTGCAACTTTCAACAAACCACTTTGTATTTTCTGGCCTTGAACCATCAGTTTCGGATGCTCTTTTGCTATCTCATCCAATACTGCATTGGCTGCTATTGACCTCTTCTTGTCTTTACTGTTGGAAACAACTAAAAGAGGGAATAACAATGGTTGGAAATTTTGTTTCGCAATTGATTTCAAAATTTCAACAACAAAATCAACGGCATTGCTAATTGGATGGGATAATTGAGCAATCAACTGTGGCAAACAATCAATGAAAGAAGATTTCGCAATTCTATTAATCAGCTGACTAGTTTGATTAAAGATTTTTTGGTTATCGGCTGTTGCAAAGAAAAGCGACAACAATTGAATTATTTCAGCGAAATTTCCTTGATTTTGAGCTTGGTATTTTGTCAAACAATTCACGTAACCTTTAATAGCTTCGAATGCGAAATCATAGTTCTTTGGATTCAAGTTGAAATTATGGTAATTAACAACAGCCCATTTTTGCCAAACGAATTGATTTTCTGAGTATTTTCCAAGCAAACTTGACAATTTTTTGGTCATGTCACTTAATGATTCTTTTGATCTTTCGTTGAAAGATAATGTCCAATCAACGTAATGAGAAAGAATGAATGGGAAATCGTGGTGGCTTGCTTTTAACGTGTTCATTGTCAATCTGAAAACAATCTCCAAAGCTGTTTTGTTGTTTCCCATTGCCCAGTTATATTTACACTTTAATAAAGTGACTAAAGGAGGAGAACTTAATTCATTAAAGTTAGGAAACAAAACTTTAAATGTTTCTTCAAAAACGTCAAATTTCCTTTCATGCAAAATCAAATCAACAAATTTGATAAATGAATCATAATCATTAGGATTTGCACTTCTTCTAACTAATATCAAATACCACCAAGCAGCTGATGTGTAGTCAACACTTTTTAGTCTATCCGACCATTGTTTTCTTCTTAAATGGTCGTTGACTAAATCTCTTCCTAATTTAACTAAATCCTGGAGTTCATACAAAACTTGGCAATTTAATAATGTCGGATAAACTGTTTCATATCTTCTTCCAAACAATGCAGATGATTGAGCAGAAATCAGAGAAAATGTTGCATCAATAACTGATTGTGTTTCATCATTCTTTTGCAGCATATAAAGAGCAATTGCTCTTAATACACGACCAACAACAGAATCCGCAGAACATTCTTTTGTATAAAACAAAACTTTGTTGAAATCATTTGAAAAAATAAATGATTCCGCGAAATATTCCGCAATTGTTGCTCTAAACGATATATGGAAACTCATATAATCTTTCTCTTTTTCACGAACAATTTGGTATCTCCTTAATTTGCATGCAGAAGTAATAAAACCTTTAAAAGCTTCTTCATCTTTTCTATCTAAATCCAATCTTTCAGAATAATATTCGTAAGCAGAACCCCATTGTTCCAATTTCAATAACCACATGTGATCTTCATTAGGACTCTTTAGAAGTGATTTTGCTGCTTCAGGACGACTTAATTGTATATACAAATGAACGGCATTGTCATACAAACCTCCTGAAACACCGCCAATTTCTTTAAACACTCTTTCTTGTTCATTGTGTAATGCCAATGCCAAACAATGAGCGTTTGTATAGAAATTAGTTAATGTTGACTCCGAAATCAAGATTGGCTTCTCCGCTCTGTCCATGTACTCCAACAATTGGGCCAATGTTTGAGTTACATCCGGTGGCAAACCTTGTTTCGTCAACATCATTGATAACTTCAGAGAAATTGCTGCTTGTAAATCACTTCCCATTGATATCCAACAACTAAGGAATGCAGGGAAGAACAAAGCATTTCCTAGTGGTGTATGTGTCATGCTTAAACTTGTGCATGCATTTATAGAAACACTTGGACTTTCTTGGATAACAACTTGAATAAATCCTGCCAACCAATTTTGATAATGTTTTGGAGTTGTCATTATCTGGTGATCGAAATGTTCAAGGATGTTCTTCTGGTTGTTGGTGATTTTCGATGGAAAATCTCTTAAATAATGCAATAATGGCTCTGTATTTATAAAAGTGAAGTCAGAAAATTTGACATCATTTCCAGACATAATTGCACCATTTAAAATTACGAATTCCTTTGGAACGTAGCCGCTATTTATCAGTTTATCAACAGTTCTATGTGTATACAAATTGAATTTTCCACCAAGCTTTAGAATAAGCGAATACATGACTTGGAAACCCAAATCTTGAAGAGGAGCTTCTTGTTTTGATGCGAAAGCCAATGATGTTCTTAATATCATTGCTGCTGAATTAGTAATATTATTAGAGTTTTGTACTAAATACCGCAATGAATCTAAAGAAACAACTTTGACATCTAACGGTGCATCACTTCTTGCGATTTCGCAAATTCTTGGTGCTAAAACTTGGCTTAAATGTGGAAAACTCGCACATATTGTTGCCATCAACGGAATACATTTAACAGCTGTTGATTGGATAGATAAAACACTTGATGAAATGATATCCAAGAGATTAGTAACTAAACTTGCTGCAAAAGGATTAAAATCTGAATGTAAATTATCAACTAAACTTGCTATAACTAATAAAAGATTTGAAACTAAACTAGGACGCCAAACTTTATGAATAGTAACCATTATTTCATCAACAAAAGGTATAATACGCTGTCCTGCAATGAATATCAATCTTTGCAACAATAAAAGTGCTTCATTCGCATTGTCATCAATTGAATTTTGTATTTCTAATTCAATCAAAGGAACTAATTCTCCAAAGAATTCAGCGGATTTCGTTGAATTACAGTCCAAACAAATAGTTGCAGCTGTTAAGACTTTCATTCTTAACGTAGAAAGACTTTTGTCGTTTAAAATCATATGTAATTGATTCCAAACGAATTCAACAAAATAATCATTGTAAGAAATGGAATTTCCTACTAAAAACAAGTCTGGCAAATGGTTTTCAGTGTTGTTTGTCTGTGTAGTATCATATTTCATCAGTCGTGGAGATACTGCACCACATAAACCAAGGAATTTTAGGCCTCTAACTCTTAATCCTCGTGAATTACATGTTGCAATCAAATGAAAAACCATTGGTAAAAGTTTTGGATATATTCCTAGTAAGTTCCTTGGTTCATCTTTAGTAAACAAAACCAAAAGAGTTGCAAGGACTTGGTGTTTAAGTCGTTTGTCGCCCCATTCCCCTAAAATTGCTGTGAAAACTTCTAAAATTTGTTTCAAAAACCGTTTGACAACTGAAAAATCATTTGTAATCACTTCATCAAGTGTTTGGACAAGGGAAAGAGCAAGTTGAGTGCGAACTTCAGGGAACAATGGGTTGTTAAATTCGCTGTGCTGATAGGAAAACCTTTGTGTAAGAAGATCTAAAATTATTGGGATATAAGTACTGGAAAAAATGTGCATTAGCATGGGAGATGCTGATACAAGGTTTGGAAGGACACAACTGTTCTTCTCTTGCATGATCAAATTCGTTGAACATTGGAGAGAATACAAAGATTCAAGCATTGAACGCCTGAGAATGAGATCCACACCGAATGGATCGTATTCTCTGAGCTTCTTGAGTATCCTGAAACACGCAGATCGAACTAAAGGAGAGTCATCGTGTGATAAATTCGAAAAAAAATCTAAAAACACGGGATTGGCGAGCAAATGGTACTGGTTCTCACGGAATGCATTTAAACATGATACTCTAACATTCACGGAATCATGTCCTGTGGCTATATCAATGACTTGATGCAAAATTTGATGTAATTCGTAATTATCTGTCTCTAGGAGGATGTGGAGGACAGCCTTTGGAGCAAGTAGAATATCTTCTTCCGATTTTGAGAGTAAATAATCCCTTAAAGAACTAATTAATAATTTTTGATGACTTGATAAAACAGTTGGGAACAAACAGATGAGATTAAAAGCATTGGATTTGGATACGTGTGACTTTTTCGTGTTTTGGAATAGATCTACTGTTGCATCTACGATTCTAAAAGAATAATCAACCCAAAAATTAGGAATTGTCTCAAGAAAAACAGGGAAATGTTGTAGGAATGTCTTGGTAAATATGAATTTCTCAATAATTTCCCATAAATTGAAATTTTGATTTTGTAGAATATTTGTCTTTTTTGCAATAGCTAATAATACGTCCATCAATGGTGCAGCTATCAAGTCTTTGTTATATTGCAATGATCCTCTTAGAATTAGGAAAACAGATTGACCTAAAACTCCAAATTTTTCTGGAACATTGTTAATTAGATTGGTCAGAGCTTCGATACAGTTCAGAAATGTCCCCTCTTTATGGTTTTTGATGATTTCAAGTAATAATATAAATTTCGAATCATCTCTGAATAAAACCGGATTTATTGCGGCAAGTTGACCCAAAACCGAGATGGCTGGTTCCCTTGGCTCTTTTCCTTGTGCGAAAGGAAACACAGCATCAAAAATTATGTTGGCTTTGTGTTCATAAAATTCTCCTTTTTGTTTTAATATTAAGAGTAGTACAGTTAGTGCGCCTTGAGGACAGTTATCAGGATTCTTATGTAAATGCATCAGTGCATTTTGAAAAATTGCATCAAAAATCTCTTTCAATCTGTATCCTTGGTATTTAACAAGGATTGTAAGATATCGTTCGAGTACTTGACTTGCGGCCATGCGAATTTCGAATGATGTATTGATCAGAAATGGCCAAATCTGTTCAGGAACATTTGGACTATGAATTAAAAACGGCAATGGTATCATTTCTCCCAGTTCTCTAAGTAAGAATAGGCCAAATAAATTATCTTGATAGTTATTTCGCTCTAATTTTATTTTTGAAAGCGCAATTTCGATATGTTTTCTGGCAAAATTATCGTTAGTAGGTGGTAGTTCCGAAGCTATGCTTGCTATACAATATGCAGCTAGTTGCATTGATATAACTTCGTTTGTGGAGTATAACGCGTTAATTAGAGGTTCTAACGGAGAAACATCAGAGAGAAAAAAGTGATATAATGATAGCATACCAATGCATAGCTTCCTATAATTCTCTGATGATCGATTTTGAGATAAGTTAGTAAGATAATTATATGAATCTGATATCCATTGATTTAATTCTTCAGGTTGAAGAACCCTGAGCCTTCCAACGAAGATCTCCCAGATTGACTTCGATATTGAAATGAGATTTGAGTACATATCCGGGAGTGGAAGGTTATCAAGAAAAGCATCCATACAAAATCTTTGAAGATTTTTCAAAATCAAAATAATAAAGTTCACTATTGTTATATAAAATACAGATATCACTTATTAACAAGTCGAAATCCGAAATGGAGTCCGAGATTTTGCTCGAATTCGGATCAAAATCAAAATTTGAAGATGAAAATAGATGTGACTCATGATTTTAAACAATTTTCTCCGAATCTGAAAAATTAAAGGAATTGAATTGATATGACACCGTTCATCTTTTCTGATGTCAAATCTGTCAAAAAAATTATTGCTTCCCAACCTTAAAATCTCAAAACACTTGTAATGAGTTCCTTATTAGATATAATGATTGTTTCCGTCTAAAATCTGTTAAAATTTTAATATGTCCCAGGTCTCGCAATATGCTGATACCTGGGAGTATGGTACAGAGATTACTTCTAAAGTCACTGGACCGAAATATTGGAAATATAAACTTAAATATGAAGCCCAAAAGGCTATAGCTTTAAGGGATAACAAAACAATATCCGAATTAATACAAGCTAGCGCACAACTTAGAGATCAATCGAAAGAAACTTTTTATACTTCGCAAACAATGATGATTTTAGTATCAGGATTGGTCTCTTCTCAGCCAGATGATGAAACAATTACAAATATTGGCAAAGAATTAAACAGAAAATTACCGAAATTACCAAAAACCAAAGTTTATAAAGAAATTTTAAGTAGAAATGCTAATAAAGCTGAAGATTCCGAAGAATTTCCTGAGGTTGTTGATGGAAGGTTGAACATACAATCTCCTGGTCAGTACGCTTTAGTTGCAAATGAGAACACAGATCACTCCTGTGATATTATTTTACTTCGTTGCAATCCAATTGCAGATCTTGACATAGTTGAAACGGCAAGGTCACTAAATTGGGACGAATACCCTATATTAGTTAATAGAATTGATATGATGCCGCATGATTTGGACAGCTGGGCCGCTTTTCATAATTTAGTCATAAATTTAAACGAAGCACAAGTTCAGGAAGTTGCTAATTTCGTTTCTTACTGGAAGATCATATATAAAGATCTTCTTAATACAGAAGCTGATGATGATTTCTCTCATATTGTCCATTTTGTTTTTGATTTGCTTCATATCATTGAGCAATAATAGATACATGCTCATTTTATTTACATAATATTGTTTGTATTGTTTATAAATATTATTGTTTACAGTTTTTTATTATATCATCCGTGTAAATTTGAAAAATTCAATAGATTTTTGAATACGTTACGGAAGATTTTATAAATAAAACAATCTGACTTGACTTGAAATAATAAAACTTATATAAATGTTATCCATTTCTATCGATTTTCCAATTTGATAGTAATTCAAAAAATGTTTTTACCCAGGAGAGTAGCAACAGCCGCTGGTGGTGTTACTTACTCATCTGAGAACATGTGTACGTCCAATTCAGATTATTTCATGTATGGTAGCAAAGTTTGCTTATATTTCTACAAATTACCTGAAATGCAATTATGTGAAACGCTATCTCAAGCAAATGAATCGTTCAAAATTGTTCGATTATCTCCATCTAGTAATAATATGCTATTTTGCTTCACTAATAGTAGAAAATTGATATTTTTCGACATTAAAAATCAAAAATTTCTAAAAATAATTAACGGATTCGAATACAATCTTCAATCAGCCGAATTTCGTCCTGATGGTAAATATCTTTATGCATGCTTACTCGATCTATCTATCATATTCATTTTTAATACAACAGATTTCAGCAGTAAAACAATTGGTATTAGTGTAATGCCGCCAAGAATGTTCGTATCTGTTCCATCAATGCCTGGAATGCTTTTATTCGCATATGAAGGCGATGATTTTGTCTTTGTTGATACGGAAACTGGCACATGCACAAATACAAGAATTATTACATGTCCATACGCAATTAAATTTGATCCATTAAATCAAAACAACTGTCTTCTTATTACAAAACTCAAAAAATGGGCTTATATTATTTTACAACCGAAACCGAGAATAATTACAACATGTGATCGCCACGATATCAAAATTTCAAGTGGTGATTGGATTCCTGCGATGCCAGGACACATTATTACCGGAGATAAAAAACTTGGTATGATATATGTATGGTCTGTCTCAAGTGGCGTTCAAGTTTACCAGCAAATGGTTGGAGAGAGTGGAATTACAAGCATTACGCGTATTTCCAATAAGGATTTCGTCCTTGCATTTCTTGATGGCATGATTGGCGTTTACGACGTTAATACAAGACAAATGGAAGTCAAAGTACCGCGTGCCCATTTCAATATCATCTTTGCCGGTCACTTCCTTCCAACAGATTCCAACATTTTCGCTACATCAGGTGGAGATGGCAGAGTTTGCTTCTGGAGTCTTCCAAATCTCCATCAGATGCAAGGTTTCACACTCGAAGACAACAATTACTCCCTCTACTCCATGGCAATCTCAGGTGGAGGTGGATACATGGCAACAGGAAATTCAAGAGGAGAAGTTTCTCTTTATTCACTGAAAACATTCAAACTTTTATATAAAGTCACATTGCATAGTATGCCTATTCTTAGTATACAATGGTCTCCATCACGTCCTAACATCATAGCAACAGCAGGACAAGACAGACACGCATATATTTTCGATATCCAAACAAAACAAAATGTTGTCAAAATTTCTGTCAAAAATGAGTTCCGCCATTTACAGTGGTCCAAGCACAATGAGTCATTGGCAATTGCATGTGGCGATGGCTCTTTGTACGTTAGAATGGATGGTGGCTCCTATTTCATTATCAAAGGATCAACAGCTCCTTTGTTTGAAATTCAATGGTCACCTCACAACGACAACGTTGTTGCTTCGACTGATGATGATGGAAATGTCTTAGTATTCGATGTATCTACTAAACAGGTTAAGAAAGCACTCGGACACGTAGGACCTGCAAGATCTCTTGCGTGGGTTGAATCACAAAAGAATTTGTTGCTTTCTGGTGGATACGATGGAGTTGTTGTATTTTGGGATACAAAGAACATGAGTATTACATCAAAAGTAACAATGCACTCTGGCCATATCTATGGTATTGTCATGCACCCTGAATATCCTAACTTATTCGCTACTTATTCTTATGATTCAACTGTAAGATTGTGGTCAATTGACCAAATGTATCCGATGTCAAAAATTGATGCTTTGATTTCAGGAGAAAAGTTTTCGATATCGAAGTATTGTCAGTACAATGGAGTACCAACATTCGAGAAACTTTTGCATAGAATGATAAAGGATGGAACAAGAATTTCCTTCAAAGATGATGATGTTGTTCACATAAGAGATATTTTGAGAATTTCTAAGAAGAGAATTCAAAAATTGACACAAAATTTGCCAAGTGAACAATCCCAAATCATGCGATCTAAGAAAGCAAAGAAACTAGCAATGGAAGCTGCAGAACTCGCAATCAAATCCGGTCATACTAAGAAGTATTGCGAACTGATGTTTATTTGTGGAGAATTCGATTTAGCACTGAGTGTTGCTCCATCAGTTTCTTACAATTTCTGGCAAACATTAGTCAAAGCAAGGGCAACGATGTTGAAGGGAACACCAGAAGCAGCGGACTTATTGATCATTGCTGGTAAACCATTAGACGCTATTGATGAATTAGTCAGCGAAGGTTTGTATGATGCAGCACTTTTAGTTGCATCATCAATGAGAGAAAACGCTTTTGTTCCTTCATCAAAAACAGAATTCCAGCCGAGCGAAGAAACTCAAGTTACCAGCGATTTCATCAAAGACGACTTCGATGAAGAAGATTTCATGATCTACAAGATCGCTTCTTCTAAATCTCAGCAACTCGCTTTGGAAGGACAGCCTTATCTTTCTGCCGCTGCTTTGTTATCAATTGGTGATGTTGAAGGCGCAATTTGGAGATTAGTTTGGTCTGGAGAATTGGCGTGGGCGTATGAGTTGGCGAGATTAACAGATACAGTCAATGACGCTCTGCAAACATTGTACTTCAGATACTGCTTGAAATACAACCGCGGACTTAAAGCTTTCTCTGGTTTATCCAGTTATTTGAAACGTTCTTTTGCTCCTTCTTTGAAAGTTAATGGAGAAAGTGAGTTAAATAAGATATATCAAGAAAACGGAATGAAGAATGTTTCAGACTATCTTCAAGAAGCAAAGCATAGCAGAGGATTACCACAAGCACAGTTCATACTGTTGAGTGGAAGAATCGAAGATGCATTGCAAATAATTGTTAATGTTGGAAGACAAATTTTATCAAAAAGCGATGTTGATTTCAATCAATTGAAGCTTGTTGTTGAATTAATAACTAATGTCTCATCACGCGTTAACATGCAGGATAAGAATTGGGCTATTGCTGTTTCATTGTGTCATTACTATGGTATTTATCAAGCATTTTGGCGTGGATTTTATAAGATTTTGCCATTATTAGCAAAAACTTATGAAAACATTGTGAAACTCATTGCAGAAGACTTCTTAGTTTCAAGGATAGAAGAAGTTAACTTGATCGCCAGCTTGTCATTGATTAAACACAGTGTAAATGGCGCTGAAAAACAAGCAATGGCAACAAACATCAGTGAAAATTCAACATTCAAGGCAACAGTTGAATACTTCAAGAAAGGAGATGTAAAAGATTTCCAAGGAGGATCAACTGTTGTTCCTTTATCTCCTGGTGTTGTCCCAATTGACATGAACTTCGCAGAGAATCAGACTTTGACGTTGACAGGAAAACCAATACAAGGAAATATGATTGTATTGGATGATGGAAAGAGTATTTTTAGCGTTGATCAAGGAATTATGTACGGAATGGTTACGCCATTCTCGCCTATGGCTGACTGCAGAACTTTCTTCCCATTTTAATTTTGTTGTTTTCTTATATATATTCATTTATTTTTGATCCATATCTTGTAAAAAAATGTATTATAATTTTTTTGTTGATTGAAGAAATTTTTTTGTTACCTTTCAAACATAATAATATGGCTTGATTTGGTATGTATTTCAAAGGCATTCCTGAAATTAGGAAGTGATAAATAAGCATTTTACCAAAAATATTTAAATTGAATTTATTAATTTTGAATTTATCATTAACTGATATGGGTAAAGGGTGATAAAAATGCATCTTAACATCTTTGGTTAAATTTCAGTCGTTTCGATGATCTTACATGAAGTATATATATATTCGGGTTTGTTTGTTGAAAGTTGATGGCTAAATGGATATTTCGTTAATTCATGCTCTGTGCATTAGTGTATTTCTTGATTTTAGATTAATTTGATCGAACAATATTTTTTCCTAAAATGTAAGTTCTAAAATGTAAAAAATGCTGGTCTACTATATTATTCAAATATACATATATATTTACCGCATAATAACAAAACAAAAAAAAATTAATCGAAAGATAAAGTAACAGGATAAAGTTCGCGAGTGATCTTCCTTCTCTTGAAGAAATATCTGGCCTTCATTGCCTTTTCGACAGATAATCTCTTCTCTGGATCGATTTGGAGAAGGCCTAAAGTTAATTTCCTAAGTTTCTTCGTCCATATTGGTTGCATTCTCTCAGTAAACTTTGTTTCAAGATTTCTAATGGGATCTTTAGTCATTTTACTGAGAAGGTTCGGATCAAGTGGTAAACAATAGCGCCCTGCGATTCTAATTAGAGCTTCTGCACCGAAATAGTGGGTCAGTGATATGAGTGTTTCTTGAGTAGACTCTTTTTTCCATGGAACTTTGCCTTCTGTCAAAATATCAATTATCAAAGTGCCGACTGCCCAAGCATCGCATCCAGTTTTATATCCTTTATATCCAAGGAGCATTTCTGGTGATCTGGTGACGCGCGAGCCAGCACATGATGACATGGATTCCGAAATATAAGATGCACATCCCCAATCTATGAGAGAAATCCTATCCCATGTTGGAGATACAAGAATATTTGAGAATTTAACATCTCTATGAACAATGTTTTGGCTATGAGCACCTTTTAAAGCATTTAAAACGTGCTTGATATAATGCCGAAGTCGAGGAATAGTGGTATTTTCATAAAAGTATGCCGGTGTACAAGATTCTAGAAGTTCAAATACTATAAATGTATTATCTGCTTCAAAAACTGAGTACAATTGAACAATATCTGGTACTCCACGTAATTTTTTGAGAAATTCGATTTCTTTTAGATGCCCATTTGAATTTCCACGCTCTACAAGCTTTATTGCTGCTGGTTTATCATGATATGTACCATTATAAACGTGCGAGAAAAATCCTTCTCCAACAATTTTTCCGAAAACTACCCCATGCAGTCGTGGCAGCTTAACAGGAATCTTTCTCTCTCCGTATGATCTGGATTTATCCTTCGATGGTGTTTCCATTTTGATACAGATCCAGAAAAATTGAAAGAGAGAAAATTTTTTTGTAGAAATATCAAACGTCTGAATAATTTCTATGAATCAAGTCAAAACTTTAATCATTTTCTTGACATGAAAATCCGTTGATAATTTTAAAATCACGCATGCCAGTCAACGTATAATTATAGCAGATTCTTGATATCAATAAATAAGGTTGGAGGTTGAATTGTTTTTCATTGGATCTTATGAGAGTCTCCACAACAGTGTGGCTTGTTGAATCTGTTTTCTTATTCCAATTCTTTTAAATATGAAAGCACAGCACAAATCAAAAAGAATGTACATTGTCAAATGTATTCTCCCTTAGAAAATAGATAAAGTCAACTTTTTTATCAGAAATATGTGGTGTCCATTCCTTTTTATATCTGAAAAAGGCGAACATGAATAAGCGATTTAATCCTAAGCTGCAATAAAATCAATATACAGACTATACTCTAGTAAATTCTAGACAGATTACACATAGAAAGTTATTTCAATGATTTTTCTAATAAATATATCTTCCATATTTACTGAATATGAGTTTATCTAACTATAAAATAGCATTATAATATAGAGTTATTTTACTTTTTTGTCAATTTATCGAATTAAAAATTAATATTGAAATTAAGCCTCTTGGGCAGTGGAATGGATGAAAACTAGTAATGAAATCGTTAAAGAACGGAATAGAGTGAAGATATAAAAAAACTATTCGATATTTTATAAAGAAAATATCGCCAGTTTAATGATTTATGATATATGCCATGAGAAAGTGTTAATATTAACTGATAAAGTTAAATCATTGCTAGTTGAGGAATTTTTGAAGAATTTGCTGTTTCTATCAGGAAATAGCGGAGACAATCCTGGTTAAATTAGAAGTTAACAGGATTTAATATTTATTTAAAAGGAGTATAAAGATTCGATTGAAAGTTAAAAACTATATAGTCGTATAAAATTTAATTGAGTCAAAAAGCATCGAAAATGTAATTTTAACACTTTGTACAAAGGTAGACCAGCAAAAAATACGTTATTTCGCAATTTTTTAAGAAAAATCTTATGGTACTTATTTTCATTTGAATAGCCTCTCAGATGAATATAATTCTAAAGATTTAAGGGGGCATATTGAACGAGTCCTAGAATAATTATATTATTTGTTTTATTTGAAAATTAGCAATGATTTAGTTCCTCATATCTTCAATTAAAAATTACTATCGTTGTTTTCAAGGAATTTTGATTCCATTCATCATTTGGCTCGCTTTCATCATTATCTAACCTTCGAAAGTAGTATGTTAAAATTTAATATTTCACATCTAATACTTTTCACCTATAAAATTGCCCACAAATATAACAGGATTCTTTGCTTACTAATATACTTTAACATATTTTGAAATGAAGTCCAGTTTATCGGGCCGTTTTCGAGAAAAAGTCATTTTTGTAATCAGAAATGGCAGGTTTCCTACTTGTGCATTCATAAATTGCAAAATGATAGAGAACACATAGGTATTATACTATTTTAAGCTTATTCACAATATTTACATAGCTTGTTGACAAGATATTGACAAATTTTCTATGATCTACACTCCTGAACAGGAAACAAACAAAATTTCACAGCAGATTTGCTAAATCTACTATTTTTAAATGTCAACACACAAATACATGATAAGCTCTCTGTTATTTAACAAATTTTTTCTATTTATCTATCATCTTGTACTAATATGTTACACTTTTTGTTTTCCTATGAATAAAAATACCCTTAGCTTAACTTCTTTTAAAGTAATATCATTTCGATACCTCGATATTTTACATTAACCATTATTCATTAAAATAATTCAATAATTTTAATATATATTATAATTTGATAGTTTAGTGATCATTAATATACTCTATATTTCCTTTTAAATTTTTGAAACAAATATAATTGAAAATTTGCTCTTGGTTTTGATACCAGAATAAGGATGTAATAAACAGAAATTCATCAAAAGTGACAGCTCTCAATTTTTTGACATTTGTAAATTCTAAATTGAATGAGAAAAATGAAATAATACTAAGCATAATACAATATTCTAGATTTAATTATAATTAGGAAAAAGTTAGTTTTGAGAGTACTTTTCATAGGCATATAGAATGAAATCTTCTGAAAAATAATATCACATAAACTCATATTATTTTCTAATATATAACTATTTTATATAAAAATCAAATTCAATGATCTTAAAAGCGAAGGATAAACCTCAAAAATTACGAATATAATGAGTGGGAATATAATGCTTATCTATCATAAAACCATATGAAATATTAATTTTTGCTTTACGCCTAATTTTTGACGACAATTAGCAAAAAAATGTTAAATGTTAACACTCAGTCCATTTGAATATGAAAAATAAAATTGACTTTGATTAAATGTTTTTATTTATCATGCAATTCTTCTTGCGACCAAAGATTTGAATAAAAGTTCAAAAAATAAGATAGCTTAAAAAATAATATACGGTAGTGTTTACTAATAGATGAATAGTATATAAATTCTATTAAAATGGATTTGATCCAAAAAAATATATAAAATTTGATCATAAATAAAATCGTTTTAAATTACTTTTTCATTTAAGGGTGCCCTATAGACGATAGACCACCCTCAGAAAAGCACTTTTAAGGCTATTATATTGAGAACTAGAATCCGGATAATCCATTCATTCGAGTTCTAATAAGGTTAATTTTGTGATGTTTACATTATCGTTATAGGCACCCTTAAATTATAACAATTATTTTTGGTTTTATATTTTTTGGATCAAATCCATTTTAATAGAATTTATATACTATTCATCTATTAGTAAACACTACCGTATATTATTTTTTAAGCTATCTTATTTTTTGAACTTTTATTCAAATCTTTGTCGCAAGAAGAATTGCATGATAAATAAAAAACATTTAATCAAAGTCAATTTTATTTTTCATATTCAAATGGACTGAGTGTTAACATTTAACATTTTTTGCTAATTGTCGTCAAAAATTAGGCGTAAAGCAAAAATTAATATTTCATATGGTTTTATGATAGATAAGCATTATATTCCCACTCATTATATTCGTAATTTTTGAGGTTTATCCTTCGCTTTTAAGATCATTGAATTTGATTTTTATATAAAATAGTTATATATTAGAAAATAATATGAGTTTATGTGATATTATTTTTCAGAAGATTTTGTGTTCTTCTTCAAAATTTTATTTTTTATTAAAAAGAATCTTTACGAAATATACATTTACTTTAATTAATATTTAAAAACGTGCTCTATCAAAAGTTCCAAAAATTCAATATTTTAGCTTTTCTGAGGTGTCACTTTTGATGAATTTCTGTTTACAACAAGGATGTCAATTTGGAAGAAAAGTGAGAAAATTCCTAAAATGCTAAAAATGAATTTTCCAAACGTATTTTTTTATCTCATTTTTTTGATTTTGAAAAAAATTTGGAGAGAAGAACTCTTCGTTTTTGAATTTTGTCACGATGGTTTTAAAGTATATTAGACACATGTATTGGTATTACTATTTTTGTATATTTTGAGAGAAAATCCCCAAAAAGTAAGAAAATCTAAGACGGTTTGAGAAAATATATAAACTATTGAAAATTTGAATTAAACTTCTAATTTGGAAAAAAGAAATTTGGAAAGAAGAAAATTCAAAAATCGAGATTTAGACTCAGCATCAAATGGAGAACAAAATGTTTCTTCATATGAAGGAAAAAAATTTTCTTGTGAAGAAATAGAGTTTTTAAAATTTTATTGTATGTAATGAAATAAACAAATATTAAAATTATTTTTTGATAACAAGAAAATTCCCAATAGAAAATATTTGAGAGAAAGAAAAAAAATTGAAAAATATTACTCTTCTTTATATTTCATGAGATTTTAAATTTATTCTCATAAAATTGACAATTTTATACGTTTAGATGAAAATAAGTGATTTTGGTTGAAATAGAAATTATTATTTGATTACAGCTATCAAATAGATTTTTGCTATTTTGATTAAAATTTGTTAATCAAATTAATAAATTTTTTCTAAATATCTTAAATATCTGGATCACTCACTGATACAATGAATTGAACGATAAAAATAATACAAACTCAACTAAGTTTCCTGTCTTTCAACTAAAAAAAATTATGCAAATTAAATTAAATTGTTTATTCAAATATAAAACAAAGATGAAGTAATTACAGTTATCATAAACTTATGAATAACTCTGTAATTGGTTCAGATTTCGTAAAAATATTTTTATTAATATCGATAAGAATACGTTTACCTACTATAACAACATATCGATAAACAAGAGTAGAGTGATTTTTATCATCGAAACTTTTTAAAAGCTGTAAGCTGGAAGGAAAAATCTTTTTTTTCTGAGTTAGTTGTAGAACTATTGATGCACGAGTTATCATTGTGATGTAGAAGGATGTCAATGTACTGACTGAAGGATATGAAGTGAATTGAATTTCATTGCATTTCAATTTGATCAAAATTTATTGAAATGATATGAATGTGTCAACATCTGTATCACTCTCTTTCACTCCTTCCCTATTCTTTCGAGAACGAAGCTAGCTCAGCTTTCGCTGAGCGAATTGACACTTTTGATGCCCTAAACGTACATGCTCTCAAATTTATCGAAAAAAATTATACCACCTAAACTAGTATATTCTTATTTTAAATATGATATTATCCTTAGAAACCACACTAGAATATATTTAAATCAACTTTTAAAAAAGTTCGAATCCTGCGCGTCTCACTTTTTAAATTTTCCAAAAGGAAAATTATATTCTCCTAAAATGAAAACAATTTTCCGAATTGACATCCTTAACCAGAATGCAAACATTCTCATTTAAATCAATTATAAAACATCTTTATAATTCCAAAAATTTTCTATTTTTCATTTTTTGATGTTAAAATTGTTATTTTGTTCTAGATTTTTATTTTTTCGAATTTTTTTTTTGGAAATTCCTTTATGAATTTGAGCAGAAACAAATGTATTAACATAATCCACTAGATGATATTACTCGGTTTTTATAATTTTGATATCATACATATATATTTTTGGTTCAATTCCAATTCGTATCTTATCAATATAACTATTTGTAATATAATATTGTGGTAAATTACGCTCTCCATGCTGAATACTCCAATTTTGTTTTACAATATTATTAGAATAATCAAAAATCAACTCAATCAAAATTCCAAAGTTACGAATTATGATATTTTTTTTCAGTTGTGAAGAAACACACAACTACACAAACTCTAACTTACGTGTGTTGTACCAAAATATTCATGTTATCTAATGACAATAAAAGAATATATACTAAATTTTCTGAAAAATATGTAATGTTCAAAATTTAAACCGTGAACACATTTCACATCTCAAAAGAATATATTTAGTGAGCAAGATATTGAATATAATTTTTAATAATAATATCTCAAAATCGACCCGATAACTTTCATGCGATACTTCGCACATCAAATATCCATCCCCCATATAGTAAGTATCCATAGCCAAAATCAAAAATTATTGGTAAAAATTTTGCTGGTCTACCTTTCTTTGTACCCTTTTATTTTGAAAAGCACGTTATAAAAATTTGAATTCCTTTCAACGGTTATACGACCTTTGTTACAAAAACCAAAACAAAGAGTCGGGTAAATAAACCAAGTGTATATTTTGCTAGAATGCAATTATTCTTTATCATATTTGATATAAAAATTGATTTATCATGCTTTTTGATACGAAATTTCAAAATTATGTGAATTTCTTTTAAGGGTCCACTGTAAAAATTGAAAGTCTCTCAAAATTGAGAGGCGATTTGCAAATAATCGTTATCGTCATTTTTCGAAAATCCACTTTTCCTAGTGTTCTGATTAATATTATGTGAATACAACAATGAAGCATATGTTTCAATAAGATGGTAATATATTCTATCACTTCAAATCTCATAAAAATTGCAAAATCAGTGAGTTTTATAAGAACATAATTTTTTCGAATTTTTTCGCTTTTGGATGCGTGTTTTGAAAAATAGATATTTTCGAATTTTAATTTTATCTTAAGTATAAGTTTTATATTAGGAATTTTTTTGACCTATTTCCAATCATTAATTCCGATGTTTTTCAAGGAATTTAATTGAGAAGAAATTAGGAATTTCGCTTTAATGCCATTACAAACTAATATTATGATGCATAATATATATATTTATTGAGGCTAATGCCGGGATATCTTGCATTTAAAAAAAATTCAAAGAATTGACAATTGGATAGCACAAATTTAATTCCCTGGACAAAGTATTATTGTTTATATATTCAAACCATTATCCTTAGTTTAGATATGTTGGCCAAAAATTTTTCGTGTTATTTTTTGTGTTTAAGCATAAATTATGTATTTACTTATGAAAAATAAGCATTTTATTCATTATCATAAAGATATACCATAACAATTGATAAAATTTTTTTAAAAAAAATTGTGTATTTTAGTGGGTATTATTCTGGATAATGCCAATTTTTACAAGATTTAATATTAACCATATCAATAGCCGACTCAATGTAAAAATTTAGATATTATTTTTTCATTAATCAAACTTTGATAAATTTTAGTATAATGAACGATTTTGTTTCGTGTATGATACAGAAATGAAAAGCTTAATTAATATCATTTTGCATTTTTTAAAGGATGTTAGAGTACATCTACATTAAAAAATCAGATTTGAACTGCGATACTGCATCAAATTGATGCATATCTGATAAGGATCTCAAAAGAGTAAAGTTAATTTTTTTATGTTTTTTTAAGTTTTGGGCCTTAGTAAAACACCATCTCGAGCAATATTTTTGGGACGACGATAGACCTTATTTGGCCTTACAGTGGACCCTAAAAAAAAAATCTAAATGATAATAAATATATAATGACTAGTTTCAAATTTATAAGAACGTATATTGAATTTGATTTTCCAACTGTCTAATAATTTCAAAAAAAAAAATAATTCCTGATATTTAAATGATTTTTTTGAAGAAATATCTAGAAACCACTCACTTATCATTTTACTAAGGAAAGAAAGTATTTTAGCCATAGCATCACATATAGTCATGAAATATTTCCATGCTTATTGTAAAGTTTAGAAAATTATTTACCATAAAATTGCATGGAAAAATAATAATGAAAATTGAAATAAGGGTTTCGTTTTGCTAAAATTGTCACTTTTATAGCATATTTGTTTTTGGATGTTTTGCGAAACCAAAAAAAAAAACTATGATATACAATGTGTGTGTAAAGAAAATACTTTATTTACTAGTTAAAAAATCATTTGGTATTGATCAAGTTTTTTTTTCTGGATAAGATATTATATGGATATTTGGATAGAAAATACAATTATATAATCTTGTACCTGGTTTAATTAAGCTAATTGTCATCAGAAACTTGTAATTTTTATGAATTTCAGATTTTCTTTTCATTACTGCTTTTCTTAATAGGTCAATTTCTTATTTACGTTATAAAGTATGATATTTACAAATATCAAGTTATCATGTTTTTTGAGAAATTATGAGAAACAAACAAAAATGAAAAAGATAGGAATAGCAATGAATAGTGATGTGGGTATAGAAAATGTAAGAGATATGAATGCAAAGCAATCAGTATTTAGGATATTGACCATAGATTTCGAAAAAAAAATGCTGCATATTGAGCGAAAACTATGATTATATTATAAGGCTGTCATTTAAAGCATAATGAAACTATTCCCTTTTCATTTTAATCGAATAAGATAGTAAAGATTTTTGAATTAGCTAGAAACTGATGAGATGTTTTCACAAATCAGATTTTTAATCTCTATAATGCATAATTCACTCAATATCTCAATTTTGATATTGCGAGATATTTTTGCTATCGGTTTCGCAATTTTGACACAATAGCAAGAGGGTTCTATAAGCATTATTATCAACGTAGAATCTGAATATCATATCAGAAAATGTCGCAAATCTGACATTTACCCGACCAAATAGCAAAAATAATTGAATACTTTTCGCAAAAACTTTAAAAATCGATAAAAATATGAAATATAGATATTAAAGAGACTTTTTATATAATATTCATAAAGATTTTCCAAAAATATGATACCGCAAAATTAAAAAAGTGACGTCTTGAGTGGAGTCAAAGGTCGCAATTGCTAGCTAAATGTTTTTTTAGCGAAATTGCGTATTGTACGTTTTTTTCGCAAAACGAAACCCTTAATTGAAATGATAGTATTTTGGTTGTACATTAATATTCTTCGCTTTTTTACAAAAGCGACGATTTCTTTCAAAAAAATTGAATGAGTTCAAAGCATTATTTAAAAAACCACAATTTTTCAAAAAACTTAATTGTTTAGATCTTATGGAGACTTCAATCTGCTCTATTACAGGAACCAAAACATACCTCAAGGTCAAGCCACATGTTAACACCAAGATATTATCTAATTTCATTTCCAAATGGCAAAAGAAAAATACAGATTGCTTAATTATCACAAATGGTAGTACAGAATCACACAATTCTCTCAAAAATCAATCAAACATGTATTACATGTTCCTTACAAATAGCGAAATTCCACAAACTGGTGACTTTTGCGATTATTCAAATTCTCTTAAGAAAATTCAGAATTTTGTAAATGTTTCTAATGTTGAAGCTGATAAAATCCAAGAAGTTTATAAATACAGTACATCCAGCCTTGAAAAGAGAGTTTTGACAAAGGAGCAAGAACAGTCTTACAAATATTTGCAAGAATTAAAATTCCCAAAGAATGATTCTCTTAGAGCCCTCAACGTTTTTGGCTATGATGCTAACAAGGCCACAGATTACCTCCTTCAAACCAACGGAGTTTGCTTTGAGAAGAACCCTATAGTCCAGCAAATTCCTGAAAATAATAATTCTAAGCCTGTCAAGAAAACACAGCAAAACAATTCTTTTGAGTATGTCTCTTCTAGTAAGTACCTTTCTAACATGGCAAATCTCACGGAGTTTGCTCAGCTTCATTCAAAAGACACAAGAGATTATTGCGCTCATGACCTTGTAATCGAAGCTGAAAATGTTAATTCATTATTTGGATTTGAAAAAGCTTATTTTTCTAATAATGCAATTGCATGTGTTACAGAAGCTGTTGGTGCTTTCATGCTCGAAGACCGTGAAAACTCATGCCATCAAATTTCAAATGTTCCTCAATCTGAACTCCAAGATTTATTCGATATTGAAATCGATATTGTCAAAGAATTTCTTACTGCAAGGATAAATGCCCATGATAAGAACATTGCCCTCTACTTGGTAGTTCTCGAAGGATTGTATATGAAGGCTATTGATGCTATTGAAAATAGATGGGAAAATGAATTAATCAGAGTTATCGATCAGTTTCAATTGTTTGTAAGTATTGTTAATTCAATCTAATAAATATGTTTGTTTGTATTTTTATGTAAATATAATATGATTTTTGACATTCTCAGAAAACAAAATGAAGAGGAAAAAAACAAAATTTAAAAAAAAATGAAAATTTTGTTAAATACATTTCACAAACACGTAGCATTCTTTATAGAGCTTACTCAATTAAAAAAGTTAATCATGTAAGCTAACATTTGGCAAACAATTTGAATTCATTGCCACAAGTATCATTACTTTACTAAATGGAAAATAGTGTGCCAATATTTATTCAAAATTGCCATCCATTTGACAAAATAGCTGTTAATGTGATTCAATTTATAAAATTTTCTCTAAAAAAACTCGAAATTATTAATGATATTTGGAATATATAGCAATATTAGAAAAAAGCAAAAGTTTACGACTATGTAACGACTATCAATAGTCAGATGAGTGTCAAAAAAGCGTTAATAAATCAACTTTTTGATTGGAAATAACCGTTTTACACTGTCAAATGATTTTTTATCAAATTATGGGTTGACTAAGCATTAGGATATTAAAGCTTAAATATTTTGACCGATTCATTTTGCCAATTCTTAATCTCTGATAACAAGAATAATATGTAAAAAAAATCAAAATTTCAAATTCAATAAATTATATAAATGATGGTTTTATCATTCTCATCTGGCAATTTTGATGACAATATGAATCTTAGTTTGGCATAGTTTTAAGGATATAAAGAAAATTTAAATATAAAAGCACTCATTAACCATTTGATTGCATATTTATATAATATTTATACTATGTTATCTAAATAAAAAATTTTGGTATGAATTATTCGCATTTAAGATAGTAAAAAAAAATGATTGTCGTTAGACGACTAGAAAATTATTTTGTCACTTTTCCTGACGACAAGAAATCAAAACTCCTAAATCAAATAAACATGAATATGATTACATTGATTCACAATGGAAGCTCAGGAGGTAAAACCGAAGAATACATTTAGTCGAAATTTATAAATTTTGGCCTTCAAATCAATTTTATCAGTGAGATCCTTTCAATTCTATTAAATTAACGAATATTTTTGTGAGCATATTGAAATTCTTTCAAGAGTTTTTCACTTAAATACACCTTTTCTAAAAGAATGATGATAATTTTCTGTGTGAGTGTACTTTAAAAAGAGCAAAACATAGAATAAATATAATTTTATATTTTTTTATTTGTCCAAAAAAAAAGTTATAATAATTTAATGGTGATGGTGATGATGATGTTCTTTCTTTCTTTCTCTCTTAGCCTTAGCTCTTTCATCTGCAGCTTTAGCTTCTTCATCCAATTGTCTCCAGTCCTTACCCTCATCTTCAGAGTCTTCAGCTGGCATCTCGTCTTCGTCTTCATCTTCATCAGAAGGAGCAGCATCAAATTCTTCATCATCGTCATCATCTCCTCCATCGAATCCCTCATCGTCATCATCATCTTTCCATGTCTTATCTTCGACTTCAGAGTCAACTTCTTCCTCTTCATCATTGAAGAATCCCTTCCATCCTCCGATTTCTGATTCGAAGTAAGCTCTTCCCTTCTTAAGGATGTTAGGAATGACATCTTTCCATGTGATGTTGTTCTTTGAGCTGAAGAATGGAATCTGAAGAACGCCGAGCCATTGCTTGATGTTCTTAGCATCAGTGACAGAGACATGAGAAATCTGGACAACTTCCTGTGTGAGATTCTTGAGAATGAAGCTGATATCGATGTTTGTGACTGACAATGTTTCACGTTCGAATACAACGATATCGACTCTATCCATCATGAGAACGAAAGGTGGGGAATTAACAACAGATGCAATAGCATTAGGAAGAAGATAGATAACGGACATTTCCTTGGAACAAACACCGTAGAAACCTAATTGTTTGTGTGGAACAACTAATTTAGGTGGATTATCTAATCCGAGCTCTTTGTCTTCAAGTAAATCTTTGAAGTACTTGAATTCTTTGTTGATCTTCTTGCGGATCTTTCTGTCGCGCTCTTCTTCGGCAAGTTCGGCTTGGTCTGTCATGGAATTGCCTTGTTTGGAAACATCTACGGATGTGTCTCCTGTTGGTTTGTAGAATGTAATGTGTTGGGAGGATTGTTTACCTGTGGTGATAGGTTTCTTGAGGTAGAAGTGGATAAGAGTCATCATTTCGTTATCCTCTGTGGCTGGAAGGTAAATGGCAAGTTCAATGTTCTTATACATAACATCAAGACGTTCGTGAGTGGTGGATCTGAATCGGAAGCCGTTTACGTGGGCTTCGATGGTACCAACAGTCTTGTTACCGTTGAGAGCTGGACGAAGATGGACGTGGCCGGAGATACGAGGAATATTCTTTCCTGGACCAGCCTGGAGAGGGATGAGATCTTCACCCTTGTAAAGAGTCTTCTCTTCTTGCTTACGCTTGAGGAGTTTCGTAAAGTGGCTTCTCATGGAGTTGATATCTTTGGCAATTTGGTCGAACATCTGGTTTCCTTTCTGGGAGAATGTAAGTTCTTTGATGAAGTATTTGAAGGTTTCACTATCCGTAGCCTTAGGAATGTTGAAGTTGATATCGAGTTTTGATTCTGTTGAATCTGTTGATGTTGAAGCCTTTGCTGACTTGATCGTGTTGATATGGAATGGAACTAAGCGGCCATACATTGGAAGTAAGACTGTCCATCTTGGTTTGATGATTTCTATCGTTGTAACACCTCTTGTCGTAAGATCTGACATATTATCGAATGAAGTATATTGCGTGTTGTCAGAATCATCATCTTTGTTCTTGGATGAGGTGGAAGAAGAGGTGGATTTGCGTTGATTCTTGATACTCTCGAAGTAAGCAAGCATTTCTGGATCTTCTTCATCCTTCTTGGTGCCTGAGCCGGTCTTGTTACGTGTACGCTCGTACATTGGACGCTGATCGTTAAGCATCTCCTGTAAAATTGAATCTTGGTCTTCGTTGCTGAGTTTGTAGGAAATTAACTTGTAGCGGTCCTTAGCGTTTGTAGCGAATTTAACTCCGTCCTCGCCATCGGCAATTTGGACTGTATCAACGAGGGATAAAGAGAAAGGTGGCTGATCTCCAATTTTGACGCCCTTAAGGCCAAGAGCGAGAATAATGGAGCAGTTGTTGGGGATCTTCTCTTCGGAGTCGTCAGTGATAAGGTGTCTTCTGGAAATAGCGTATGTTCCGCAGAAGCCACCGATTGAATGTGGAACGTACTGTTGGTATTGCTCATCGAGGCCCTTGACGAATGCGCGGTAGATGGCTCCAAGTGTGTTGCCGGCCTTGCATTGTTCGAATGCGTCTTGTTTGGCTTTAACTAATGACTTGTAAGCCCTCTTGACATCATCAGAACCATTAATGATGTATGTACGGCCAACGCAAGCGCAATATGACTTGAAGTTGATACCGATTGTAGCATTAACGAAATCTGTTGTAAGATTGCCTTCTCCGATGGTTGGTGGGAAGTCGATGTCGAAGTTGCTACCACATCTGATGGCTGGACGGAATGCTGGCTCGACATCTGATGGGTTTAATTTTGGATTGACCTTTGAAGGATTGTTCAAGTCCTTACGGGTATCGTTTGAAAGAGATTTAAGTGATATTGTATCAGATGATTCGATGATTTGTTCCATTTGAAGCTTGAATACCTTCGTAAGGGCACCATCAGCAACACGGGCTGCATTACGGATACGAGCAAGCTCAACATCAAGGTGGACAATAAGAACACCTTCCAAATCGTATGTCTTATCAGTCAATGAAAGGCTGGAAAGATCAGAGTCGGCGATTGCGTTTTCAGAGCCAAAAAGACGGCCATTTGCATAAATTTTAACTTGGTCAGCTATGGATCCCTTGAGCTGGTCAATTATGACCTTTTCTGGTGTTCTAGCGGCAGCAATTGCGTCTGAGGCTTTGTCATCCTTGCATAATGTAACTAATTTGTCTGGTGTAATGATAAGGTATGAGTTTGTAACGAAGACACCATAAATCCATCTGAATATCGCATCATCAACTGAATAAAGATTTGGTTTTTCAGTGCTTGTTGCAAGAACAACGCCCTTAAAATCGCTGGATTCTTCCGTGAATATTGCCTTGCGGAAAATCTCTAAGCGTTGTTCTATATTTTTAATGTCATTCATTGATAATAATAAACCGAAAAAAATAATCGTCGGACTAATTCTGTTTTTCCATCAACAGTTATGAGTTTTTAAGCAGAATAATATGTGCATTGAAAGAAAAATCATCCACTTCAATAATGATGGTTTATCTTCAATATAGACAGAACGATTCAAGTTTACCATCAAGATGAAGACTATTTTGCTTGAGATATTGAACACATTTGATCTATTCTATCATATATTCCCATCTGGTGTTTATTGGTGAAAAAGCAATTACAAAATATTGATTATCTTTTTAAGATTGAGCCACATTGCCCCGTATTAAGGTAAATTGTCTATAATTAAGTATATGTTATATTGTAAAAAACTGTATTATTTAATTTCTAAATATTCAAAGATATATTTAATAAAAAAACTCAAATAAAATATTAAACAATTAATGTCTAACTGATCTGTTAGATGTTGGTGTATAGTGTCTTTCCTTAATGGTTGTAACAATGCCATTATAAAAAGTATGATGTTGGATAAAGCCAACGATAAGAGAAACAAGAATATGTGTAGAAAGCCATAAGATAATGATGCTTTCTATAATAGAAACCAATGGAAGTGAGTGCATGATCGTGATATCGCTAATCATGATCTTTAAGTAGCATTCAAATGTATATTTACCTGATGAGGCAACTCTGTATTGAGGAACGTGGTCTCTCCATGTAATGAAATACAACGAAGAAACGTTGGATTGAGCAGTAAGTAAATTCTGTACATTAATATGATTCATTGAAGGTATAACGTCATTTGGAAGAGATCCACGGAAATCTACAGCTTTCTCCTGGTAGAGAGATAAAACACCTTGGCATGTGATTTTTTCAACTCCTTGTGGGAATTGTTGAGCGAAAAATCCATAGCTGCTAGTATCACTGCGAGACCACTTTCTAAGGCTAACATTATAAGCAAATATAATGTTTACACCGATAATTGTAGAATCATCTGTGATCTCTGCGCGTACACGAACTGTAGATGCTGTGATATTTCCGGTTTCGTCAACTTCCTGTGCAACTTCAAACATTGGAAGGAATTTAGGAATATCTGCTGGGTATGAAAGAGATTCGATAGAGCCGCTTGTTGTATTCTTGATTAAAGAGACAGAAACTATATCGCCTGGAAAATATGTAGGATATTCTTGATCTATCTGAACTTGGGATTGATTGAAATAATAAAAAACGCAAATTATAATAGGAACTACGTATGTTATAAGCCAGCAGATTGCACGAAATATAAAGGCGCAACTACAAATATGCGCTTTATATGTTGTTGGGGGGTATGCTGTTCTAAAAAGCTGTACCATAAGACCGTTTCTAAAGAATTTGAAACGATTTTCAGACTTGTGATATGAAAATTTTTTATTTTTTTTAATCCAATTTCTTCAGATATGGAAATAACAGAGATCCGTAGTTAAATGGTATGAATTTTTGACAATGGATCATGAGTTTCCATAAAAATATTGAAAAAAATCCTCATATTATGTTAAATGTGTCATTAAATTGAAATGTCGCTCAGCTATAGTGCTCAAATAGGATTATTGTAACCCGAATCATTAATAAAATGTCTCAGAATATTCAGAATTAATACTATTTTATTTATGGGAATGTAATAACACACGCTGTCAGTAGTATACAAACTGTATCTTTCTTAAATCAAGCATTTTATAAAGGGTATAAGAAAGAAATATGATATAAAATCACTGTATCATAAAAAATGACTGTTCGGATTCATTTAATCTATATCTACATTGAAATTTTCGATTATAATACTGAGGTTCCAAAGAGAATTGTAAAGAATTTTAAAAAATGGTATAATTAGGTATATTTTTAGGATATTTTGGATGTGCATCAATTGCTTAGTTTACTTAATGAGTAAGAGATAAGTTGCGTGTGTATTTTTTCAAAATGAATATTGATAATGTTTATCTTCGCTACTTTCGATGATTGGATGCCTTAATTCAACGCATATAAGAGCCTGAGTCAACTTTGAAAATTCCAAAAAAAATCAAGTTTGATGTTTTGTAGGAACAAATGTTTGGTTTTATCTTTCATTTTTTGAAAAGTGAAAAAAATTTGGAAAAATATTAAAAATCAGGAATTCAAACTCAATTATTAGATGAAATAATTCAAAAATCAGGAATTTAAAACGATAAATCAATATTATTTTAATCCATATTTTAGAGAATACAGGTAAAATATAAAGACACTTCAAAAAATTACATCATTTGATATCTATTTCTTGAAACTGAAACTATGATCAAAAAATTTTATTACTTATCAACATGTGTGCACATGACCTGTAAAATACGAAGTAAATCATAGTTATTTTTATCAATGTTGAATTCGGGGTGTTTTTCTTCATGCATATACAAATATAAAAGGAATCATAGTACTTTCACGCAATTGTACAAACTTTGGGCTAAAAGATTATATATTTTTGTAGAATGTTTGTAATTTTTCTTAGCATAAATTGTTTTACTCAAAGATAATCTAACGAGAATACAAAATAGCCGATTTAATCAACGGCCGTCATTACAGTTAAGATTTCAAACAAAAATTTCGAGATTTGTTACAACCTTACCATATGTTTGCCAAAAGACTTTCTTTAAGTCATCTTTCTTTAGGACCAATTTCTTTAATTACTCAAAAATGTACATCGGTTACTTATATATAGACTCATATCTCCCAAATTCCAGATAATATATATTGCTATAGAATTATATTCTTATATCAACTAAACATTGACGAATGTACTAAAAATACATGTAATATTTGTTAATACGATAGGTTTTAACAGTATGAAAATAATTGAAAAAAGAATTAGGCAGACTTTGCCTCAAGTGCTTGAAGCTGCTGAGCATACTTTTCAGCAATTCTTCTTCTGCATTGCTTCATGGATGGAGTTAACAATCCATTTGCTGGCGAGAATTCTTCAGGGGAGATAAAAACTCCTCTGATCATCTCGAAACCATTAAGTTTGTTTTCCTTACCGATTTCAGCGAATTTCTTAAGTAAGAAATTCTCATCTGCTGCGAATCCGTTTTCAAGAACGGCAACAGCAGTTAAGAATCTGGAGGACATTCCGGCATGGATATAAAGCTGAGCAACACCTTTAACTTGTGTGTAGATATTCATTAATTTCTGAATTGAGACGTATTCGCCTTGAGAGAGTTTAATAATCTCTTTACGTCTTCCAACCATCTGTAATTGTCCTGATTCTGTAACTCTGAAAATGTCTCCTGTCTTGAGCCATCCGTCTTCGAAATTAATCTTCTGCTCTTCAGGGTTCTTGTAATAGCCAGAGATAACACCGGCTCCTCTTACAAGTAACTCACCTTCCTTCTTGCTGGCGAAGAATCCCATTTCTTCGACATCAACAAGTTTGACTTCGCCGCATGGATATGGAATTCCGCATGTTCCATCATGGCAATCTGAATCGGCCTGACCAAGAATTGGACCAGATGTTTCACTGAGACCGTAGCCAATGACGAAATCGCAGTTGAAAGCAAGTCTCATGAAATGAGAAAGTTCTGGTGGCATGTATGAGCCCGCGCAGACAATCAATCTGCAGCAGCCACCCATAGCCTGTCTGACTGGATTGAAGATCATATCGAAGATTGGAACTTTCTTAATGCGGAGGTTTCTGAGAAGAGCTGACTTGATAGAGATGGCTGCACTGAAAACAGATTGAAGCATGGCAGATTTCTTCTTTAACTGTGCTTGAACTCCCTCATGGATTCTTTCGAAAACTCTTGGAACGCCACTGACAACTGTTGGTCTGATGATCTTGAACTCTTCTGTAAGGCGCTTAATATCTCCTGAGTAAATGGCAATTGGAGTTCCAGATTTTTGTGCAATGACATGAAGAATTGACTCGAAGACATGAGCAAGTGGTAAGTATGAGAGGTATCTATCTTTTGTTGTGAAATGAGATACGTAAATAATTGTAGCACTTGATGTGGCGATCATGTTTGAATGAGAGATTACAACACCCTTAGAATTTCCAGATGTTCCTGAAGTAAACATGATGAAGGCTGGATCTTGTGGTTTTGGTGGAGTGTTTGGTAAAATATGTGGGCAACTAAGCAAGTCGTTGAACTTGTGGAATCTGATTCTATGATTGCGATATTGATCATAGTTAAATGGAGTGTCTTCTGACTCAATAATGATCAAATCAGTTAAGCAGCAGTTTTCATCAATCGCATCCAACAACATTTGAACTTTTGTTGAAAATATGAAAACATGAGTGAGGTGAGCGAAGTTAATGATGAAAAGCATGTTATCAATACCAAATGTATCGTAAATAGGAACAGGTACATATCTATATGCATAGCAAGCATGTTGAGCCAAAACCCATTCAACTCTATTATGACTCAAGATACCAACGTTTTGTCCAAGTGAAGGGAAGTTAGTACGCAATGATGAACCAAGTGCATCTCTCTGTTTACGGAATTCAAGACGATTCATAAATTTGAACTCATTTTGCCACTTTCCATTGGCATAAATACGGTTTCCAAGGAATGGTATGTCAGGGAACTTCTTCGCAGTGTATTCAATCACATCATAAAGTGTACCAATCTCTGGCGCATCTGGATAATTTGAAACATATCTTTCTTCGCCATACTTCTTGGCGACAGCATTGTAGATGACCTGAGTTTCGTTTTCCTTGTTTTCGATGTCCGCATATGAGACGCTATAATCACTACCCATTTTTGAATTTTGATTGGATTATATCAGAAAAAATTAAAAATAAAAAATCAAGAAATTGATTTAGATCATTATTATAAGCTTTTGAAAATAAAACCTTATCAGAAATAAAATTGAGAGCGATATGACATGACTTGATAAAAACAATATACACATAACAAGTAATAAAAAATATCAAAAACCGATTTTGTGATTACTCAATGTTGCGAAATCATCCCACTTCACCTCCATGTAAAATGACGACCAATACGTAATGACTTCAGCCTCCACTTAATATCATCCAAATTATCTAATATGCTTATACAGCTTATACTACATGATATTGGCTTTAAAATCTTCATAAAGAATTGGTGTTTGGTTTTTCTATTGGCTTTGAAAATAAAATATTATGTATATGATATTACTATTATTTATACAAAAATATCACAAAAATTATTTATGGGGTTATTCAAAGGGTTTGAGAACGTTACGAATTATCATCTCAATTTTAGAATGACATATTTTCCCCTATTTTATTGTACAAGCCTGACATCATTCATTAATTAAGACGTGCTAATAAGGATGTCAATTTGGAAAGAGGTAGGGCAACGATAGAAAATTTTTGGAAAAAAAGTTCGGAGATCTTAAGGGTGCCCTATAACGATAATGTAAACATCACAAAATTAACCTTATTAGAACTCGAATGAATGGATTATCCGGATTCTAGTTCTCAATATAATAACCTTAAAAGTGCTTTTCTGAGGGTGGTCTATCGTCTATAGGGCACCCTTAAACGTATCATATTCCCTGCATGGTTTGGTATCTTCTGCCATGCGTTGTGCCAAACATATTGACACTTTCCAATAATTAATTTATGGTATGAGTCACAGAGTTAGATTATAAAAAGAAAGTAAATAATTGCAATTAGAAATCATATATGTCGGAAATCAAATGTTGATGAGCAGAAACCTTTTACTCATCATAAAAGAGATAAATCACTAAAGATTTGTATACATTAAAATTTGATATTTGGTGCTCGAAAACTGTCTGATGGGACTCCTCCAAAATGAACCAATCTATCGCTGAGGACCAAATTAGATGATGTGGATGGTGTATTCTCTAATTCTAACTTAGGAAGAATGGGAACAAAACGAATGACGACAACAACATGTCAAACATAGATTAAATATCTATGAATCAATAAAGTATACGTGCATTGAAGGTGATAACGATCACTTGAGGCTTATAACTCTTTGACTAAATTATGCAATAATTAAATATAATCATTTTTATATTTTTATACTGATAGTAATTAATATACTATCCTGCTTAATAAATGGTATGATCAAATTTGTTTGAAAATTTAATTATGTATATGAAACTATGTCTTCTATATAAAAATCAAAATTTTCGGACGAACCTAGATTGAACCTTTATGAAAATCTATCATTTTTGTTAATTGAGTTAATATGAATCTTTTACATATGTATATATAGCATTGATAGCTTATATAATCATGGTTTATTCCATATTAACATATTTTTTCAGTTAAATTTGTTAATAATATCATGTAACAAATTAATTCAAGATTAGAATGTCTACAAAATGCTAACAAATAAGAATAAAATACGATTTCTCGACTTAAATTTTAATATGGAGTAGTTTTTCGTTTAAATCTAATTAAAAATGAATAAAAACTTATCTTGTACTATTTTCATTCAAAGATTTTAATAATGTAAATCATGCATTTTCATAATTCAGTACAGTTCTTTTTAGAATTAAAGTTGATGAGGATGATATTTGTGATTTAAAATAATTTGTTAATGTTCACCTTTTATTCATCACCTTGTGGTATGCCCTAAAGCAATAGCATTATCAATTCTGCTGAATTGATCAACTCAAAATTCCAAAAAAAATTCAAAATTTCAAAAATGAAATTAAACAATTTGAATTTTCACATGAAAAAATTAATTTCGAAAAAAATTTGGAAAATCAAAGTATTTGATAATTAGTCAAATAATCAATTTACATCGTTTTTACTCATAAAAAACAACTAATTTTTGATTTTGATATCATATTTGATAAATACTCATTCCAGAGTTGACGTAATGTATTAATTATTGTTAGAGATATTGCTTTCGCAGCAAAATTCTTATTTCATGAAAGAAAAAAAAAATGATTTTATTCCAACAAAAACAAGTAAACAGATGAATGGAAACGTACTATATTTTCATAAATGTAGTAATCAGCGTGTCGGCTTTTGTTTATCATGTTCGAGTCAAAATGTATTAACTTGTAATAAGAAATATTCGAAGATTATATGAAGTATTGAGCATTCTTTGTAGAAATATTTGTAATTCATTACTAACATATATAATAAAGTTGTTTTTTTTCCTTATTGCAATAATTTTGTCTGATTTTAATAACTTTTCATGTATACGAGTTGTGTGAATATGCATCATAATATGCGTAAATATACTTATTTGCGACGAATAATGTGGTTGCATAATGGAGGTGCTAAATTTTGATTTTTAATATGGGGCTTTGGTATGTATAATCATGTTCTTATCTCAACGTAGGAGTATTGGTGCAATATGATTAAAATTTACGAGGTTGATCTTAAATTGAATAATTCTGGAGTAAATCACAATGCAGCTAATTCTATGTTAAAGATAGATACAGATTGTAGTAATCAATTAGGGAGTACAAATTCATTCTTTCATTTCTGTCGTATTGAGCAGAAAGGAAGAGATCATAACCCTAGGAAAAAAAGCCCAAATTTGTCACTTTTCATAGTACGTTAAACTCAATTCGCTCGGCGAATGCCGAGCACACGTACTCATCATTCAACATAATATTCTCATTCTTTGGTTATTATAGTGCCAGACAACACAAGATTTCAAAGAATTACTTGAGTTTTCAATTAATCTTAATCCGATTTTAGATTTATCGAGAACTCCATCATCACAATCACATACTTCAGTGCGGTAACTACAATTATCCATATACAGAAGGAAGTTCTTTTCGAACAACTCATTTGGAGTCTGTTTTGGAAAGAACTTCTTTCTGTCCGACTTAATTTCATAGTTCCTGATCAACCAAAAGACAGAAACCACACACTATCTACTTAGGAAAGGAGTTCTTTCTAAATCTTCCTTAAATTGAGATTTTACGAGAGATAACCCTTCTATTGCACTTAAAAATGAACATTTTGATATCTTTAGTATCACACATGGTCATATATAGTATTTCATCTACATGAATACATTCATCTTTCGAAGTCTCTCATTAAATGGGAGGCTTCGAAAGATGAATCGTTTTATTCATACAACTTTAAATCTCGAATACATTTAGAGAGTGAGTATATCATTTTATTCTTGTTTTGAGTTTATTCTGATTCAAAATTGCAGTGAAAACAGAAGTTCACACATCATATCTGAATGTGAGCTCATCTATACTTATACGATCTCAATACCTCCACTCTAAGCATAAGAGGTGAAGTTATATAAAAATTATCAGATGCGTTGAAGTCTCAAAAGTATTGCCTGAATGCTTGTTTCATATTTGTCCAAGTAGTTTCAATGAATAAATGTATTGTTTTATATAATTTCGATTTATTTTTAGAAAATATTCAATATAACCTTTATTGTGTTATTTACATCTCATAAATTCTCTGTCTAAATCATATAAAAGCGCGTTTTACCCCTATGAATCAAGAAATTCATTCAATATTCATGGTATATTTATTAAATTTATACGATTTACTAATAATCAATATTATATCCTCATAAATAGCAATATATTTTGGTAATCTATGATAATCATATACAATATTTGAAATCAAATTTTCATTAGTTTAGGTTCCTTGTTAATAGTAAACCATTATATTTATTACTAATAATAAAATCTATGTGTCGTATTGAAATTCAATAAAATTACTTATTCGGTCCAAAAAAACAAATTAGATAAAATTTTTCTTTTTTTATGTAATTTTTGTTTTTCATTTTTCTCAAGATCCTAAGTTATGTTCGAACTTTTGACATCATATCCTATCATGCTAGGCTATATATTATAGCATATCCAAAAGGCAAGGAAATCTATCAGAGAAGCCTTTTTGACCTATCGTTGCCCTACCTCTATTTGGAAGAAAAGTGAGAAAATTCCTAAAATGCTAAAAATGAATTTCCAAACGTATTTTTTTATCTCATTTTTTTGATTTTGAAAAAAATTTGGAGAGAAGATCTCGAGAAAGGGACAAACTATCCAGTGTCACTTTTCAAAGGAATAAAAAAAATAATAAAGATGAAATAATAACATGAAATCTTATATAAATATAATTTTATCTAAATAGATAAATGAATTAAGCAGTTTACAGTTATATATATTTAATGAGAGACAATATCTAGTTCTATGGTAGAAATGACTCTTAGACTCAAATAAGTAACACAGATAGAAAGTACTCAGTATAACAATTATATATGTACACTCAAAGTTAGTCGCTGCTAAAATCTTAACCTTGCATTTCGGGAAAATCTGACTAATGGCTCTTAGACTCAAATAAGTAACACAGATAGAAAGTACTCAGTATAACAATTATATATGTACACTCAAAGTTAGTCGCTGCTAAAATCTTAACCTTGCATTTCGGGAAAATCTGACTAATGGCTCTTAGACTCAAATAAGTAACACAGATAGAAAGTACTCAGTATAACAATTATATATGTACACTCAAAGTTAGTCGCTGCTAAAATCTTAACCTTGCATTTCGGGAAAATCTGACAAATGGCTCTTAGACTTGTTTTGATAATTAATTCTTCAATTATATTATAATTTATAACAAATTTCCTCAAACTATCTGTATGTCATTCAATTCCCGGCCACTACATTCAATGATGGACCATTTCCTTCAAATTTTGAAATACCTTATTCAATTTGTTGTATGGAGCCCGTGATATTCAACACTATGGAGCTCCTCCAGTTTGGTATCCAAGAAGAGATAAAAGCTAGCATGGGCTACTCTCAAAAATGCAGGAAAGAATACTCCACGATCGAATACAAATGTAAGTATCCACAATGTCAAGCTAAATTCAAAGTCCGGATAATAGATCAAGATAAATATGAACTACTAATCCACTCTGACTCTCATGATCATTCTGCACCTCCGAAATCAACAAAAACAATATCCTCATTATTTGTCAGAAATTATCTTAAACATTACTTTGAAAACAATATGAATCATGCTACAGCTCAACTTAAGTGTTTCCAAGACTTAAATATTTCATATACAGACGAAGAGTTACTTTCAATATTTGCACAAGGTCCAGATGCATTACGTAAATTTGCTCAAAGAGCTGAAATTGTTTCCAAACGCTTTAGTTCGGATGAAAAAGTTTCTTTAGCTATCTTTGTCGAATCTGTTCAAGAAAGTTGTCCAGAAGATTTAATTGAATTTATCTCTGAGCCGGGAAAACTAGTTTTTTTATATGCACCTTTCGAAGCGAAGGCCCTTGGTCACCAAATTTCTACGTTTCACATCGATTCAACGTATAAACTTCTAAGGGCTAACATTCCATTATATGCACTCACAGGAAAAACAGAACATACTATTGTTTTTCCTTTTTTGTATTTCTTTATTTCTCCTGACACAAGCGAAAATATTCAATATTGTGTTTGTCGTTATTTTCAATATATTAATAGAGAACCCGAGATGATAAGTATGGACTGCGCCCCACAAATAGCCGAGGCAATTGAGCGAGGTATTCCAAACTGTCATATTCTTTGGTGTGGCGTGCATGTCCTTCGCGCCATATTAAGAAAAGCGGATAAGTTTAAATCACGAGACAATTTTGAAGAATTTTATAATCTAATGAAATTATTAGTATTCGATACTAAAGAAGAATCTCCCGAGGAAGAACAGAACCAAGAAGAAGAAAATCCTAGAGAGGAACCAGCTCAATCTCACTTACTTCAAGCAGAAGAAATTGAAGAAGAGGAACAATATGAAGAAGAATTCATCGAAAATGAATTTCAACCTTCTCAAATCTTTTTACCACGAGAATCTTCTGATGATCCAAACGATTCTGAAATTATTCCAGAAGAAGAAACGTTTGAAACAAGTGAAGAAGTTCCAGAGCACCTCACTCAAGAAGAAGCTGCAGACCTAGATGCAGTTTATGATCGAATTCTTGAAATTCTTTCCACTGAACCGAAAGCCCAAAAGTACTTCGATAGGCAATGGAGGCATCATTTAGATCGTTGGAATAAGCGCTATCGCAACGGAGGTGACGCGACTAATAACGTCAGTGAGTCACATTTCAAAGTTCTCAAGCATTCTTATTTCCCAGAGAGAAGGAATATTCGATTAGACGATTTTGTTGTTGAATTATACACAACGGTTGTTCCAGCATTATTGATTAAATTTAAAGTTCAATTAATCAATAGTGATAAAGTTGTTCGTATATTACGAAAAGGTAATGACCATGAACAAATATTGGAAAACAAAAAAGTCGAATGTTTGAAAATGCTTGAAGCAATATATTCAAGTTTGCAACAAGGATCAATAGATTCAAATCTTGTTTATTGTACTTTAAAGGTACTTTTAAAAAAGAAACAATTAATGTAAAAGATTCAAATAATTTTTATTATTTTATTAATTTTTTAAAATAAGGTTAATAAAAAAGTGACACTGGATAGTTTGTCCCACACTCGAAGATCTCTTCGTTTTTGAATTTTATCACGATGGTTTTAAAGTATATTAGACACATGCATTGATATTACTATTTTTGTATATTTTGAGAGAAAATCCCCAAAAAGTAAGAAAATCTAAGACGGTTTGAGAAAATATATAAACTATTGAAAATTTGAATTAAACTTCTAATTTGGAAAAAAGAAATTTGGAAAGAAGAAAATTCAAAAATCGAGATTTAGACTCAGCATCAAATGGAGAACAAAATGTTTCTTCATATGAAGGAAAAAAATTTTCTTGTGAAGAAATAGAGTTTTTAAAATTTTATTGTATGTAATGAAATAAACAAATATTAAAATTATTTTTTGATAACAAGAAAATTCCCAATAGAAAATATTTGAGAGAAAGAAAAAAAATTGAAAAATATTACTCTTCTTTATATTTCATGAGATTTTAAATTTATTCTCATAAAATTGACAATTTTATACGTTCAGATGAAAATAAGTGATTTTGGTTGAAATAGAAATTATTATTTGATTACAGCTATCAAATAGATTTTTGCTATTTTGATTAAAATTTGTTAATCAAATTAATAAATTTTTTCTAAATATCTTAAATATCTGGATCACTCACATATACAATGAATTGAACGATAAAAATAATACAAACTCAACTAAGTTTCCTGTCTTTCAACTAAAAAAAATTATGCAAATTAAATTAAATTGTTTATTCAAATATAAAACAAAGATGAAGTAATTACAGTTATCATAAACTTTATGAATAACTCTGTAATTGGTTCAGATTTTCGTAAAAATATTTTTATTAATATCGATAAGAATACGTTTACCTACTATCACAACATATCGATAAACAAGAGTAGAGTGATTTTTATCATCGAAACTTTTTAAAAGCTGTAAGCTGGAAGGAAAAATCTTGTTTTTTCTGAGTTAGTTGTAGAACTATTGATGCACGAGTTATCATTGTGATGTAGAAGGATGTCAATGTACTGACTGAAGGATATGAAGTGAATTGAATTTCATTGCATTTCAATTTGATCAAAATTTGTTGAAATGATATGAATGTGTCAACATCTGTATCACTCTCTTTCACTCCTTCTCTATTCTTTCGAGAACGAAGCTAGCTCAGCTTTCGCTGAGCGAATTGACACTTTTGATGCCCTAAACGTACATGCTCTCAAATTTATCGAAAAAATTATACCACCTAAACTAGTATATTCTTATTTTAAATATGATATTATCCTTAGAAACCACACTAGAATATATTTAAATCAACTTTTAAAAAAGTTCGAATCCTGCGCGTCTCACTTTTTAAATTTTCCAAAAGGAAAATTATATTCTCCTAAAATGAAAACAAATTTCCGAATTGACATCCTTAGTGCTAATGGAATATTTTAATTATATTATTCAGTTACATGCATTTTTTTAGCGATTCTTTGTAACTCCGCAGTTTTTCAATACAAATAGGTCAGGTATGAGGGGCTTCCAGGGGCTGCGCCCCTTCTAGCCCTAAGAAATTTTGCCCAAGACCCAAGAGGAGGACCGAACCCCAGCCGACCAGCCGGTGACAAAACCAAAACCGTTGTTATTTACATCATATTAATGATGTCACTTTTAAAAATGTCACTTTTTGTTTCACTTTTCACAAATTATATATGTTTTCATGCTTTGTCACTTTTCTGTCACTTTTCGGGTAAAAACATTTTTATTATTATATATAAATGAATTTTACAAAACCACCGTTACCGTTCTTTGGAAATAAGGGTAGATGTAAAGATATTATATTGAGAGAACTTAAGAAACTACCGAATGGTCTAACATTTGTAGATTTGTTCGGTGGAAGTTTCTATATATCCCATTTATGTCATACAATATTCCCAGACTCAAAGATTATATGCAATGACTTCGACAACTATATGGACCGTCTCAAACATATACCAGATACAAACAATATATTGAAAGAGTTAAAAGAAAAGATACCTATAGGTAAGATGGAACGTATACCATTAGATAACAAAAATATTGTGAGAGAGGTTTTGAAAAAAGCAGAATATATAGACTGGGATAGTATATCTGCTAGACTATTATATAGTGGTTCTATAAGAGTTCATGACATTGAAACACTTATGTCAAAAGTTTTATATCTTAACTATACAAATGTTTTCAAAGAGGACATAGAAAAATATATTGAGGGTATAGAGTTTGTGAGATGTCATTGGACAGAGTTGTATGAAAAATATAAAGACAAGGAAAATGTTTCTTTATAGTGGACCCGCCGTTCTATAACACATGGGATTTTCAATACCAAGTAGACTGGACTTTGAGAGACTCTTTAGAAACTTTAGACGTTTTACATAACCATCCATGCTTTTACTTTACATCCGATAAAAGTGGTTTGGAAACCGTTATGAGATGGTTAGAGGACATACATGACTATGAGTTTAGATATGACAAGATAGAATATGAGAGAGGTCCTATAAACCGGAGAAAGTGTCATAACAAAGAAATTTTTTAGTAAGTAAATGTGGTTTGAAATAGGACTACTTGTTTTAGGTTTTTTCCATTGTGTCATTTATTTATTTGACGTGGCAGAAAAGTACAGAGAATATGAAGATGAACCAATGCCTGCAAATGTTCAGCATATGTACTCGTAAGAGATATTTTTATCTAATATTAAATGGACGCACAGAACTTAGCGAATGCACAGCAACCTGGACAACCAAACCCAGAGAATATTCCAAATGAAGTTAGAATACAAACTGCAATGGCAAACTATGGTCAAGTGCCAACAGATGTACAAATGCAAACTGCCATGTCAAATGACGCTGCGTTAGGTTTGCCACCATGGTATGCAAATATGAGATGGAAAGAGTTTTATACAAACCCTGAAGTGGGATATAAACAACTTTATGCAGATGACGCGAACACAGGAGTTGACCCAGAATATGTTTTCTACCAGAGGAGAAACAGAATGTATGAGCTCCAGTTAAAGAATGCTATGGAACTCAACAGGAAACGTAAGAGACTAGGTGGACATTAGATTTTTACATATAGTAAAATGGGTTTCTTCAGTAGTATTGGAAACTTCTTCAGAAGAGTTGGAAGAGGTATATGGAATGGAATAAAAACCGTAGGAAGAGGAATTTGGAACGGAGTCAAAAATATTGGTAAAAGAGTAGGTCAGTTTGTTGGTATTATACCTAAAGACCCTGAACCAGAAGAACAAGCTCCTGTTATACAACAGCCTGAACCTGCACCACAGTCTAGTTGGCAACCAAATCCAACACCTCAACCGTATTAAAAAATTATATTTTTACCGTTCGATAGTAGTTGTATATGAAACTAAGTTCTAAGTAAAACGCATGGTATAATGGAATTATTCTTTTTCTTCCATCTGTAGTAAACCATACTTGAAAGTCTGAAATACTTCCACTTGGTGGTTCGTATAACTTTGTAGGTTTTTCGTAAAAGTCATTTGCCAAGCATAAGAAAGAGTTTTGGGCGCCAGAAAATGAAGCATGAACAATAATAGCAGCTGGGTCGAAAACATTTTCATATGTTCCATTAGGGTTTTCGACTTCATAAAAGTCTGGGTGTACTGGATATGCTGCAGGCTGATTTAACATCCTCATAAATCTATACCATGCCAAGTTGTTATATTTTGTAGAAATTTAAACGTTTTCTCCAAGGTCTTCTATTCTATTGATTTTAACAGTTGCATTTTTCCTGTCATAAATAATATCGAGATGGTACTCTCCCTCGTCAATGTTATACTGGTTTGCATATTCAATATAGATGTCGTTTATTTTTTCTTGAAAAGCTTGAAGAGTTGTTTCTAAGTTTACAAGCAAACTAACTTGTAAAAGTTTTCCCTGTTCAAATTTCTCATACATACGTTTTTCTTTGTTATAGTATCGAACTTCAAAACCGACCGTAAATGGGAAACCATGTATGGCTTCTGAAATGAACTTCATTCTACGAAAGCCAATAGCTTTTGTGACAGATGGGTCTCTTAGCCATCTTAATGGGTAGTCAAAACGATAGCCTTCATGCTTTACGGTCTCTGTCTCAAACTTTTGACCGACATTAGTAAAAAGTTCATCTAATGGTTTAGTTGTAGCAACTCTTGAATTTTCTTTTTCTATTGGAAGCATATTTTATCTAGAATAAAAATGTCGAAAGATATTGCTTCCATAAGAGAAATACAACACAACCGACAACTCATTATGCAAGCTCTAAATAAGAACACAACAAACTTTTCAAACTATTCTAAGATATCTGAGTCATTGAAAGAAGGAAACTTAAAACTGACATTAAACCCAATGACAGATGAGTTTCTATTTCAAGACAATAAGAACCATACTGTCTGTATAAATCCAACAAAAGGAACTTTAAACGAGAAACCTATAAATGAACTTCTTTTGAAAGCAGATGTTGACAACAAAGCTGACAAAGAATATGTAGACGATGCAATAGCAAAAGAAGAAGAAAGAGCTAACAATGCTTATGCAACAAAAGAACATACTCATCCTGAACTAGCAGACAAAACATATGTTGACAATAAAATGTCAAGTGAAGTGACAAGAGCTGAAAACGAATATTCTAAAAAGACTCATATACATACCATTGCAAATATTACAAACTTACAAGAAACCTTAAACAGGAAAAGTGCCGTTGGACATACACATTCTATATCTGAAATAACAGACTTAAACGTTAGCCTTGAAAAGAAAGCGGATAAGGAATGTGTTGCTGCTGCGTTAGAGAAGAAAGCGGATAAGGAATATGTGGATGAAAAGGATAATGAAATTATAGAAAGGGCTGAATGGTATCATGAATGGACATCGAAGATTTTAAAAACTAAAGCCGATACAGGATGGGTTTCAGGATGTTTAGACCTTAAAGCAGATAAAACTTATG